TAATATCATTTGCATCGCCAATCTTTTTACTAATTGCTTCTGTTTGACTTATTGTGACGAGAATACGAGTGATGAAATCGACACGAAAATACACATTTTTGTGCACTCTTGATTAGATTTTCGCAAAACACGATCAAATCACCACACAAGCACAAAGCTCTCGAGAGCAACACAGAACGGCGTAGACGTAGGGAAAGATTTCCATCCTCAAAAGTAGGTCAACGGTAAGAGCACATTTGATGAACGACGAACTTTCGATGGAACACAGATCACACATCACAGGGGGCAGAAGGATGCTTCTCTGGACGTAAAATAATCTGCAGAATACCAGAATACAGGTAACAGAAGGATGATTCTCTTGAAGCAAGAAGAACGCCTAGCGAAAAATGTAGAAACATAGAAGTCGCACAGCGGCAAATTCATCTAAAGTGCGTAACATTTTATCCGTATAATCCTTGGGGTATTTTCTTTTTTTAGATAATCCCTTTGAAGGTGGTATCCTACCGGCTTTCTGAAATGTAATTTCTCATACATTATTTGTTTTGTGCAGCCGGGGCAACAGGAATGAGACAAATTTTGGAATATAAAGTGGTAGGTTTATTTTAGCATCCATCTCGTAAGCGTTCTCCTCGTACCTTGAGCAGAAGCCCTACTTATACATATGTGTACGTCACGAGGCTCCTCCAATCAGCGATATTAATTGAAATCACGAGGTGACGCTATCTTCTCATCAGGAGTGTTCTTAAGTACTTTATGTAATATGACAGATTTATGAGTTTGGCGATTTGGCGGGCGCCAACAGGTTAATATATTTTATACTAAAGAAAGGATTTCGCCAAAATTTAGGAACAGGGATGCAATTTAGGTAGAGAATCGCCAACACATTATTAAGCAATATTAATAGAATTTAATTTAATCAATTAATTTATTAATAGAATTTAATTTAAAAATATCATACATATATATATATATATAATTTATTTACTACAGAAATATTGATTATATTATCTCCTAAGATTAATTTTAGTAGAATTATCTTAAAAGAGTGAATCCATACTAGTAAGTTCAATTCGAAAATTATTTTAAAGTAACTTGAATGTAAATTTATTTTCATGTACATTCCCTTTTCTTGTTATATATTTTTTAAATTTAAATTTAAATTTTTTATTTTTTGATATGTTTTGCAAAGATTACAGTATATTTCTTATATTTTGTAATTTTCTAATGTTTATTTCAATTACTTTGAATTATATTTTATAATGCCAATTTCCAATGTTTAATTTTTACAAATAGTTTTGAATTAAAATGCATAAACATGAGGGTGTCGGGGGACAATTACTCGAGCAATATAAATTTTACTGCAGAAATTGCTTTTCACTCAAAATTGAATTAGCTAAAATGCTTCATTGGAATGAGTTCTTTGGTTGTCTCCATTGGTTCTTAATCCCTTTTATTCACGGAAATGTTTGGCCTAGCTTGAATTGCCGGTTTGACATCGCCTTATTGCTCGAGTAAAGGACGAAATACCTGCGTATTTATTTCTTAATTATTGTTCATTAAACGGGAGTTTGGTTAGTTCCCCTTTGAAAGTCAACTAATTTCGATCAATGCAATGATACTTGCATTTAATTTAATTACTTGCTTTTAATTTTTTTTTTTTACAATTGAAAATTTATTATTCATGATTTAATTCAAGTCCCCGTTAAACATTTTTAACAATTTACATTCAAGTTACTTTAAAACAATTTTCGAAATTGAACTTCTAAGTATGGATTCACTCTTTTAAGATAATTCTACTAAAGTTATCTTAGGAGATAATATAATCAATATTCTTTAGTAAATGTATTTAAATTTAATTTTTTTAATAAACTCAATTTATTCTTATGAAATAAATTATTATTAACTACTTTGCAGCAATTGCGCAAGTAGTAGAATAACTCAATTTCCCACTAAGTGAATTTAAGATCATACAACATATATATATATATATATATATATATATATAATGCGTGAAAAAAAGGGCAAAAGATGTAGTAGAAATACCGATGATGAAGCACATAGCAGAGACAATGCTACAGACTAATTATAATAAAAGCAAAATTTAGAAGCAGTACTGATGTACACTGGATCATAAAAACATAGAAATACTGATAGAGAGGATAGATCATAGACCCATATTGAAGAGGGAGAGTTCTGATTGCATAGAATGCTAATCCATAATGAATAGGAAACTTGGCAGTTGAGGCAGATTAAATTCCATTTTTATTTAAATTCACATTTGTGGCCACATATCGCTTGGCACTCTAATCGTGCCTATTTCCAGAACATTTACATTTCCTATTACTTTTGCAATTGGAAGAGAATGCAGCGAAATGGCATTCGAGCAGCAACAGAGATAAAGCAAAGTGCATATTAATCTAGTATGGAAGATCGCCAAGAGGAAGGTTTTTGTTTAGGTTAGAAAAGTTTCAATTATCAGAGTTTAGATTTTAAATCAACTTCGTCATTAAGTATTACATAACCTCTGCCATAGCTTTATCTAGAAATGATGCAGTAATATATATATATATATATATATAATTAATATATATATATATATATACATACATATACGAGTGCAATTAATTCATAAATTTTGTATAGATGCTTTTAATCAGATGTAAAGAGTCTATTTAACCGTCTGTGTGGTGTAACTGCCTTATCTGGTCAGAAGATTTTTTTGTCATTTTGTACTTATTACATATTTTGCTTTCTATGATGATGTAAATATCTTAATGAAGAATAGGAAGTTTATGAAAGCAGACTAAAATCTGTAATTATACAAATTTATGTAGTGAATGCTGTTAAAACACTATTTGTGAGCAATTTGAGAAAGTTGTGCCACTCAGAGGGTTAAGTATCTCTTTTGGCTTTTGCCCTTATAGAATTAATTTTTTGCTTATCTAGCTTATCTGTGTGTGTGTGTGTGTGTGTTTTATAAAGGCATTTCCATGTGCTAAATCCCCATTCCCATAAGGAACAGCTGGGGAAATCACAACCACTTTTGAGAAGGCACATAATATTTCTATCATTAAGCTATTTTACAGCAAGTAGATATTATTCAGAAGTCAAACAACAAATTATTATTGTGTCTTAAAAGTAGATATTATGTTAAGTGGATTTAAGTGAATGTCATCTGATTTCAAATTTCAAAATATTTTGGGGGAAGTGGGGGGAGAGGAACTGCTTCTGTGTATAAAAGAGACAACAGCAGTTAAGATCAGCTGTTAAATCTAATCCAGAGGAAATGAATTAAATAAGTTTTTATTATTGCCAAAGATAAGCTTTCTGACAGTATATATATATATATATATCAGAATAGTTTTTGGATCCTAGGAAAAGAATGGAAATTAGTAAACTTAATAGAAAGTTAACTTTAATGTTAATGCAGTAAAAAGGTTTTTTTATTTATTTATTTGTTTATTTATTTTATTTTTTATTGTCTATAGCAAGGGAACAACCTTTTAATGAAAAGTAAATCCATAAAAACGGCATAAAACGAAAATGTTAAGGAAAAACGAATCAATAATTGCTATTACATAGAACAAACCTATAACTACAACTTCTGGAGGAACAAACGAGTTTCCAATCAATTAACAGTAAAAAATGGAAGTGAATGTGTTTTGTCCTCCTAATATGCAAGAACCAATTGCAAAATACTAGACAAGGAAGATATTGAGCCACAACTGATTCAAAGTGCTAGTTAAGAAAAAATCTTAACTAATTATTCAAGTAAAGATTTAAAAATTCTTGCATAAAAAAGACCATTCTACACATTGGCTGCTTTTCATAGTATAACAAAGCAAAAACTATATAAATATAAATAAAAGGAACTAAATCAGTATAGAAATGTAAGAAAGGAGAATAATTTTTAAACATTCTTATCATTCTAAAATAAATTCAGTAAAAAGTATGAGACTTAAAATCTACATTATTATTATACATTAAAAAGGCCAGAAATGAATTAAACTTAACTAACATGTTTGCTAAATTGAATTGGAAAGCAAAATGGTACAGTCGTTCAGCGTTCATTGTAATGGAATGCAAATAGGGTTATCATATTTAGGGGAAGAAATGGTGTTAATAGATGTGTTGGATACTATTTTAGGAAGGTGGGAAAATTAGTTTGGATTTGGGCTGCCATGAAGTTGGCGAGAGAATTTGTAGACTTTAGTTAAAATTAGCTCTAAAAAGTTTATCAAACAGTATAAATTAATTGATTTCTGGCTAATGGTTCCCAATTTTATGGCTATATGCACAACAGTCTGTTTTAACCCCTCATCCCCCCCAAAAAAACAGAGAATTGCAGAATTCTTGGAATAGCAGAGTAAATTGGCATTGCTCTCCATGTACATATGACTGATCAAAATTACTTGTACCACCAAACCATGTACGTATTGACCTGTTTTAACTTAAAGGAACTTCAAAGAACTGCACAAATTAGCTTCATGGAATGCATATTCCTGCATTGTTTATTCCTAAGCAATATGCCATATTTCTTATAAAAAATGCAGTATTTTTTCTAACAGGCAGACAATTCAGTGCCATTACAATTCATTATGAAAGGGGGAAGTCCATACACTAATTGCAACAAACAGAAACCACAAACATGAGCCCTGAATTTTAGAATCTTGCACATTACTGCCACCACCACCAAGTCAGATGGTAGCATTATGGCTGGCATAATGCGTGTACAAGCTTTAGTGGGTTGCCAGATAAATACATTTTTGTAAAATTCTAGATCATTTACTTTTGCAACATAGCACTTTGCCATGTGATTCTTACCATGGTTGGGTAGATGATGGTATAGTACTGATAATTTTAAGAACAATTAATATATTAAAGGTTTTATTTTATTAATTTCTTCCTTTCTATATCATTTCCTTAATGTAGAAAGCAACTGATTTGTATAGTATTTTTATTTATTTATTTTTACTATTAAACTTGCTTTTTGTATTCAGATGTTTTGCAACCTTTGTCACTTCCTATAAGGCAAAGCTCTACTCAAGGAGAGACATATTCCGACTTCTTAAATGCTCTGATGTGTTCGGCTTCGGCTATGTTCGCTCCGAGCCCATGCAATGCAGCTGATTCCCATTTTGCTCTTCCACACGAGAACAAAACTCCACTAAAAGCAAGGTAATTATGTTAATGTTATTATTTTCTATCTTGACCCATTGTGATTTATGGTACTACAACACCTATAGATACAAGGGTACTATTCCGTTTTGAGGACCGTAAAAAATTGCAGCGAGAGTACATGCGCGAAAGCGCCAAATCTAGCAAATGCGCCCATTTAACAGCACGCCAAATCTAGCATACACGCTGATTTCAAATTCCTTAACTTTAGATAGCTCTATATTTCTTAAGACGCCATTGAAATATAGTTAATTTTTTTCCTGTTTGATTCTTATGTATTTACAATTTGGGAAGGCCCATGATAAAAGTCTGCAATAGAATTTTCAAAGAAAAGGCATTTCCTATATAAAATTATGTTTGAACAACTACGAGATGAACATTATGCTTTACGAAACTGTAGCGATAGCGATGCGGAATCCATCGTTATGTTTAGCCTTTTCTATATAACTATACTAATGACCTGAAATATATTACTTATCTTCCATTCCAGTAGTTTAGCCTTTTTATATAAATTATAATACTAAAAAAGTATAATATGAATTAACCTTATATAAATTAAAAAATTAATCTTTAGATAGTTATTTCGTATTATACTTCCTTTCTTGCGTTAGGGTTGCCGCAATTATTTTTGGCAGCACTAGCATCAACAATAGTTTGGTGATTTTTTACGGCCCTCAAAACGGAATAGTCCCGATACAGGTTATGTTATTTGAATATTGCAGAGCTATTAGGGCTGTCTGCTTAAGAGGAGGTTTTCCTAAGGTAAAATGGATTGTAATCATGTTACACATAGGGAAAACATATCATTTGCCTGGTCTCATACCCAAACTAGGTTGAGTTTATTCAGCAGTCTTAATCATTCAGCCACCGGTGGAGCTTATAGCTATATAAATATGCTGAGCACAGAATGTGTAACATAAAAGTATAGTGAAATGCGTGTGACACTTGTAAAAGCACTAAGCTACTCAGATAGGAAAGCGGTTAGTGATGCCGACTGCTGCGCTGAAGGACCGGGGGTTGAGTCCGAGAGAAGGTATGGATGTTTCTAAGTGGATAGTGTCTGTGCAGCAAGGAGGTACTCAAAATACACGTTGGGCCTTAATTCTTTTGAGAGGTCAGTTGTAGTGGAAGAGGGCGGGAGATTCTTGGATCACTTCGTGAAGGTTCTCTCTTGGAATTCCATCTGGGATGTAAGCCCCGATGCACAGGTGCTGGCCTTGCTTCAGCCTGCACCTGTAAAGGCACAAGATTACACAAGCTTGGACATTCTGATGCATCAAGTTTTCTTTGTGAAGGAGCTTTTGTTGTATCTTTTAACGTAAACTAATGCTAAATAATGTACAGTAAAAATGTAATGATGCATTCTTTATTAATTAGAGTTATGCTGCAAATGGTCATAAAATTTATTGAAAATTGAATGTATGTTCTGTCAATTAGCTCTATTATTTAATTTAAAACGTGAAGTTGATTTAAATGAAGTGAAATTAAAATTTAAATTCTTAAGAAATGAAATAAAGATTTATTTTATTATGAACTGAGTCCCTTTGAGTCTCTCATTTTATTAGACAGTACAGTTATATTCTGAAACATAACAAATCTTACATCACATCTAATGAGAAATAGTTACAGTAAAACTCCAATTAATTTGTGGATGTTGTGTAATCTATACGGAATTTTGAATATAAAGGAACAAAATCTTGATGTTTAGAAAGTTCTTGAAATGAAATTCAGCATGAAAAATTCAGTGATAATTTTTTCTTTTATGAATATGCAAATAAGCTTTTGACACACAGATGGTATTTATAACATAATTTGATTGAAAATGCAAATTTTTTTTATTGTTGAAATTATGTAGCCTTTTTTATATGTGCATCAGAGCTCTCTTATGGTAAGCACTGATAGGGAATCTCTGCAAATTTTTTACTTTCTTGTACGAAGTAAAAAGGAAGTATTGTAATTGCGAAAAATTTCAGGTATCATATTTCAACGAAAATGTCCATTTTGACAGCTATCAAATGCAAATTAACCATGTTTTTGCATACCATCTCTGTGTAAGGACAGAATAAAGGACTTTTTTCCCTAAACGAAGTATAAAACTGATTTAAAATGCATTCAAAAGAGATTTTTTCAGTCTGTCTGTGTGTACGTAACTACGTATGTATGTATCTCGCCTAACTGAAAAACGAATGTGAACATTCTGAGTTCACCTAACTTATTTAGTTCTAACTGAGTTAGTTATCCTAACACAATTTAAATTGAAATTTTGTATATGGGACTGATATATCATGCAGATGTGCACCTCCCTTTTTGGTTGATATCAGCTGCACCAAAAGTATATAAAAATATGTATATATATATCCACTCTGTTACTTGGCTCAGTAATCTCAGTTTCTTTATTCTTATATGTTTGTAAACTGTGCATTTTTTGCTTTAAAAATGATTCAATTATGTTGTTCTTATCTTCCGGTTAAGATTTTTACACCTTTAGTAAATCTGCATGCAATATTTTTAGAATTATCAAGTACCGCTAAGCCTAATTATTTTTGCCAATACGTTTTCTGTTGAAAGATTTTTCTTGCTTAAGAAGTTCGCACTAATCTTCAGAAAACCTTTTTCTTTTTCCGAAAAATAAACTTTTAATCCAAACGTGCTATTTGCCCAGAAGGGCTATTAATTTCGTTTGGCATTTTGTGTTGATTCACTATAAACGGCGAATCACTTTTTAAATCATTTCCACCAAATATTAGAGCCCTGTATAAAATTAAAAAAATTAAATAATGAAGAATCTGCATAAATGTATGTTTCTCGCATTGTGATAAAACTACGGTACCGAGAGCCATCAAATTTGGAATAACATACATCTTCACCCGAATATGAGCACATGGGAAGCCCAAATTTGGAATTTGTTTTATTATCTACTTTATATTTTGTAAAACTTTTAACGAATTTTTGATTAACAAACTCAGCGATTTCAAGGCGAGCAATGGCAACACTGTATGGAAAATAAAAACAATTTTATCTTCAGCACGCGAGACTGATTGAAAATTCTAAACAGATGCTCTTTTAAATATTTTGTGATATTGTCGTTGAATTGAATTTTATGGTTTTAAGTGCGAAGAACATGATATTTAATAAATAAGGGTAACACACAAAACATTAAAAAAAGTCACTTTGGGTATAATATAAAATCTGAAAGCTTTCAGATTTTTCTTGGTAAACTTTGTAGCTGTATGTGAATTATAAGTACTGCTGATCTTTTCTATTCTCCCGTAAAATGGACAGTAACTATATGTGCTGATCCACACGTTGGTTCTCTTTCTTTGATTTGAAAATATGGTATCGATCGTAGATTCGATCTGGCCACATCGTAATTCAAACTCACAAATCACAAAATTTTTAAAAGCAGCATGACTTTATAATTCCAGATAGAATTTTAAGTGTTGTAGGCGTTTCTCAGTCTTTTCTCAATTTATAACATAAGTGTTTAATTTTCTTAATAAGATGACTAAGTTTTTCATTATTTTAGCTTTATTTATTAAACATGATTTTCTCCATACTTACACCACATAATTATGCAACAACACGATCACAGAATCTTTAAAATCAGCATATCTTAAATTTAGAATTTACAATAGTGTTAGTTGTTCCAGTGCATTTTTTTATATTCTCTATATTAATACAAATCCAAAATCCAAACATTTAATATTCAAACCTCTAGACCACGCAAACCAAAACATTCTATAAAGAATTTGCGTCAATTTTATGGCATGCTAAATGTCATGTAACCTTTATATTGACCCAGTAAATCATTTATTTTTATTTATTTATTTATTTTTTTTTTTAACTTTCTTCACCACATGACTCAACTCGAGCAGCTTGAGAATGATGATGATTCTTCACCACTAGAATTTGGCTACTAGATCCACTAATCCCCAGTCACCCTTTAAAAGGGGGATTATGTAAGGTATTATTTCTCTCCTTTCTGCATACATCATGGTGTAACCGTAGCACACTTGGTGCATATTTGAGAGGTCGAAGTTCGAGTCCCGGTGAGGCCATTGCACATTTTTCATGTCTCTTGCTTCCATAAAATCCTGATGACTCTACAGTGTTATAACAGAAGTATTCCATTGCAGTGACAATGCCTCAATAATAAGTCAACTAACAAACTGTGAAATGTGTAAAATGGTTTCAAATCAGGAAAATATCGCTACGAGTGAAATGTGTAGAATGGTTCCAAATCTGGAAAATATTGCTACCAGTGAAATGTGTAGCATGGTTCCATATCTGTAAAATATCGCTACCAGTGAAATATGTAGAATGGTTTCAAATCTGGAAAATATCACTACCGATAGTGAAGAATGTGTCAGAGAAGTTGCTGAGAATGAAGAAATTTCAGTTGACAGTTTGATGGGAATTCTCAGTATGATAATTATGGGACTTGAACTTTGAGCAAGAAATTATGCCTATCTATAAAGTATTAGCACAAAAAAATGAAGCATCTTGAAAACTTATATTGACAGAAGTGTTTAATAAAGTAAGTGAATAAATATTAAGCATGCTCGCAGTTTGATGAATGCAGTACGATGCTGCATCAATTTCAGAGGTGGTCATTTGCAACATTTTCCGTAAACAGCAGTTCTGCTGCTCATTTATAAGAGTAAATTTAGTATCAGAATTATCCACATTTTCTGGACCAGTTTTATTTTGGTCACTATGAACATTTTTATTATAAAATAATACCTTTATAAAAATGACAGGGTTGCCACGCTACCTGGAAAACCGGAAAAAGTCAATGAATTCGGAAATTGACCAAAAAATTCAGGGAAAAGTCAGGGAATTTAAGTGTTTTAGTCAAAATCTGGAAAAGTCAGGGAATTTCATACAACGATCCCGCTAAAAAAGGCGAGTTTTGCGCCGACGTCGGAAGAGATAACTTTTTTGGCGAATTGTGTATCACGTGAGTGTCATTCGGGCAGCTGGCATAGAGCCAATTTTCACAGCTCCAATTTGATTGTCTTTTTAGAAAGGCAAAGCAAGTTTCCCGCAACTTTTGGTTTCCAGTAACCGCGAGAATCGCGTGTGCAGTGCATGAACTAAAGAAAGTACCTGTTCTCGTATAAAACAAAATGGGTTTAATCCTAGTATACGGTACCATGAAGGTTAGAATTAAAAAAATATGTATTATAAAGAAGGAAAACCTCTCTGCAACAGACGTGGCTCGGTTCCATCATAGCGGGAAACAGCTGTGCATGCACGACGTATCTGTCGCCAAAGCTCGAAACCGGTGTGGAAGTTCGAAGGTCACGTTATCAGAGTTCATAAAATGAATATCATTTAAAATGTCTTTAAATGAAAAGAAAATATTTTTTGGCGCAAGTAAATTAATTCATGGATTAGTTATTTTGAGGGGGGGGGAAATCTACGAAAATCCATTTTTAAAATTATTGCGAAAATCCAAGAAAAAAACGTTCTTTGATAAAACGTTTCTTCTTGGATTTTTCGCAATAATTTAAAAAACGGATTTTCGTAGTTTTTCTTTTTTGTCAAAGAACGTTTCTTCTTAACATGTGTTTCTCAATTTCCTGTACACATCGCGGAGAGGGAAATTCTGGCCGTTCCGTTGTCAAATCCCTTGGCAAATTTTCCCTCCGCTTTTTACATAGACATTCTTTGGTGAGAATAATCTCCATGTATGGTACAGCGGGATTTGGCGACATGATGATGAGCAGTAAACGGTCATTTTGTTCTTGGCGACAATTTTCAAAATCATGCGAAGGCCATATCGTATATTAGGATTTTACCGCAAAATCTTTTTTTTTTCTTTCTTTTCTTTTCTTTTTAATAAATACCTTGTCATTTTGCAGTAAAATAAAAAAAATAGTAATCAATCATCTAGGATAACCATGTAATATAACTATATTCACTAAAATATCGTTGATTATTCTAATTAAATTTTTAAGTAATTATCTTTATTTTTATGTTATTCATATCATTTAATGTTGCTTGCTTCTTCCCTCTAAATTTATTTATCATTAGTAAATAATATTTCCAAATTTCAGGAAATTTTCTCTCTGGCATAATCCTGAAATTAATTCTGGCAGTATGATGACATCACGAAATTTAATGCACATATTTTTTCCTTATGTATGCTGCGAAATAAATATAAAATACCTCAATTTAGTAAAAAAATATCATTAAATAGATTTCTTTCTTTCGTTTAGCTGCAGAATGTCTGCAAAAAAAAAAGCCTTATTTTATTCCAGATTGGGCAGATTCTAATCTCAATCTTCAGTGGAGAAAACAACTCCTATTATAATTATATTTGTGTTTTCAAGTGTTAAGGTGCCTTTTAAGAATACACCTCACACAAATTAAATTTACCTAAAATCTAACCTAATTTTTAGCATTGCGTTGTGATTTATAAGAACCGGATTAGCCTCGTGTTGAACTGGGGATGATCATGAGTAATAATTAAATAAAACGTACAGTTGTTATCCAATGTATATATCTTAAATTTTATTAAGTTTTTTAAGCGAAAAAGAAAACAAAATTATCAAACAAAGTGTACCAAGAATAATTAAGAATAAATGTCCTCTGGGATTTATTGAATAATTAAGTGAATTTGCTACACAGTACAAGTAATACCATTTACCTCTTAGCACAGCCAACGTACATTACACGGATAGACTGGAATTTTCTCGAAACATACCTGGAAAACCTGGAAAAGTCAGGGAATTTCAGTCTCCTGTTTGAGTGGCAACCCTGAAATGATGAAGGAGTAGTTTTTTGTAGAAGTGATTTTTTGAAGTATGCTTTATTCTTTTTTTCTTTTGATAAATTTTCATTTCTAAGAGTGATATGTTCTTTCAGGTCAGGAACCAGTTTCGAAGACTTTCCATTTCTCCGACCTCCAGTCACTCCTGAATGTGCAAGGTAGGCTTTTTTCCGTATTAAAATTGATAGAAATTATGTATGCTAAAATAATTTTGTATCTATGTTGTTTTAAATAAAAATTGGATTTTAGATAAAGTTCTTTATTTAGTAAATAAAAATTCACTCATCATGCCTTGAGGAAGAATAAGAAAGCATCATATTGGCTAAAGTTTTGTAGACATTTCAGTGTTATAATGAGAAATGAGAATTAGCATTTCTCAACTCTGAATGAATGTGGAAAAAAAAATGTGGTTGAACACAAGAAAAATCTTTCAATATCTATAGTGCCCAGTTTATTTAATATACATATTACTAAAGCAATTTAATATAAATTTTGTATTTGTTATTTTATTTAATGCAATTTATTTAATTGCATTAAATATCGCATATAGAAACATGTCCAAAAGTTGTTTTAAATTGATACATTCTGATGGCCACAGTTCAGCAGCTGCTGTTAATGATGTGTCTAATGCATTATCATGACCATCATGATGCTCAGTCATAAATTCTGCTAGGTAGGGTTTCAGATGATATTGAGTTGTAACTCTGTGGTTTTCGTTTCACTGGTTTGCTGATATCAGTAAGATGAAAGATTAGGTAAACTACATGCATGTGTGAAATGTAAACTATGTATGCATGTGCAGATGGGTAACCGTTTATTTCTTGCTGAGACAGAAATGCGCCAAGTACTATTCCTCACCAAAAACACTGTAACATAGAAGTTGAATCCTGGAATTTTTGTTAAAACTGATCTAGTTTGACAATTATATGCCCATATTTTCTTTTCTCTCCTCTCTCCCTTTTTAAAATTTGATAAGTTTTTCGAGTATCATGTCATTTTAACATTTACTGCCAAATATGCATTTTGAACACTTACTTTTGAATATTTGGGTTCTAATTTCTCATTTTATTACATAAAAAAAAAGTTTTGTTTCAGTTCTGAATGCTTTTGTCATGCTGTACTAGATTTGATAATTAATCAACATTTGGTTTCATTGCTTTTTATTTGTCTATTTCTTACTGAGACAAAAGAGATAACAGCATTAATGTGATATTAAATTCATAATAAGGTATTAGAATTTTGTTATTTTAGAAAATGCATGAATTTGTTTAATATATTTAAATTTCTATTTAGTAAAAACACAAATTTTGTAAATCTGTTAAAATAAATTTCATTTGAGTAGTCTTCTGATAATATTATGACAAATAGATTTTTTTTTTTTCCCCTGTAACTGATTTTAAACTTTTTGAATTGTGTCAATTTCTTTATAAAACCATTTCACATTTAAAAATTTTGACTCTGGTGAAGTTGTTGGTTTGCAGTCTAATGAAGGATTCTTTAATATTGCTAAATTAACACTTGTACGTTTACAACTGTATAATTTTTTACTCTAACAAAAATTTAACTATGGTTAAATGAAAATGTTCATGTAACAAAACTATGTTTGAATATCTTTGGTGATCTTTACTTGAATTGTGTGTATTTATATTTGATATATTTATTTTAAAGGCCATCAGTGGAACCAATGAGGGCGACTCCCATACTGAAACGTAACTTATCATCTACTAATTGTAATGAAGAGTCATCACCGACAAAAAAGTCTAGATTACTGGATAATGCTACCTTCAAAGTTGGATTATCATCAAAAAGGTAAAAGCCTTATTTACAAATTGATAGCTTTTTACCTTTTAAAATGCTACTTACCAGAAGCTCATCTTTTCTAATGTAATGTACCAAAAGCTCATCTTTTCTAATCTTGCAAGTAATTTTAATACTAATGCTCAAAAAAGAAAACATGATACTTCTGACTACTCTGATAATAATTCTCACCAAAATGATGGATACTACTCGCGTTGCTAAAATAGAGAAAAAAGATCATGTTGTTAAGAATACTATAATCAACGAAAATAAATTCAGTTTTCTAAATCAAGATAACTCTAATAATAATTCAGCTAAGGAAAATATTCAAAATACTCAACCTGAAGATCTTGAGGAACAAACACCTTCACCACCTAAGGAAAAATCAGTTCCACCTATTATGATCAAATCTCCAGCTAATACCAAATAAAAATAACTACCTAAAGCAACTTGTCACACAATCCTCTACAAAATTCTTTAATAAAGTCAATGGAGAATTTCTGAAAGTTTTTCCTTGACACGTCAGATGACCACAGAGCTCTTATCACTTATCTCAAAAATCACTCTATTGAACATTATCTCATCAATGCACAACATAAAAAACCAATTAAAGTTGTAATCCGAGGATTACTTATTGATATGGACACTACAGAAATAAGTGATATCCTAACTGACTTAGGCTACACAGTACATAAAGTTGTGCAAATGGACACGAATACGTACACGCCAACCAATACCACTATTTCAAGTACAACTCTTCCCTTCACCCAACTTCGAAACTATTTATGATATCACACATTTTTCACTGTTCTTAGTACAAGTTGAAAAAATCTCATTTCACAGTGTTATAACTGCCAAAAATGGCACCACTCCTCCGAGAATTGTTTCCTTACACCATGCTGCGTGAAATGCGCAGGTGAACATAAAATGACACTTTGTCCCAAAAAAGGATTTATTGAAAACACAGTTTGTGTAAACTGCACTAATTCTCACCCGCCCTCATCTTGTGGATGTTTGAAATTCCCCAAACCCAGAACCACTAACCCAAATCAACCCAGAACTATGTACTCCCATGCAATCACAAATAAATCACAGAAACCAGAATCTAAACTAGATGTTAATTCAAATCAGCCTAACCCTACTCCTATTATATATAAACCAAATAGCATTCCAAATTCAACAAGTAACTCTCCCTCAGCCTTCTTAGAATTTTTCAATGCAATCAAAGACCTAGAATCAATCTTCGGCATACAACTTTCTAAATTAACTCACTTAATTAATCAAAAATTCAATGAACTTAGAAATGCAAACACCATTATGGACAAAATGTATATTTTATTCCTAATGTTTGAAGAACTAAATAACTCCAACAACAAATAATTCACTAATTCATCTACTAATTAATCCATTAACAACTTCTTAATTTAAATTTTAATACTAATTATTTTCATTAAGACCTAAATTTTTCATCTAGCATTCTAACTCCTCCCTCTTTCTGCCCCCTACTTTCGGCTACCCTTCTAAATTTGTATGGCAATGAAAAGAGCCTCCTTACTCTAGCGTATTAGTTTTATGTAGCAGTTTTTGTGTCTCTGCAAAATAGAAAATTGTCACTAGTTGATGAGTTTTTTTAGCTTTATTCTTAAATAATGAAGAATCTGTCTGTCTCTATGTATGTATGCATGTATGCATCTGCATATGAATATTTGTTCTCCACACTGTGGAAAAATTGTGGTATCTACAGCTACCAAGCTCTGAACATACCCAATCCTTTCTCCAAACATGTGCACTTAAAAGTATGAATTTTTACTTTTTAAAAATTTATTTCATATTTAGTGCAAATTTTATGAATTTTTGATTAGCAAACTCAGTGATTTAAAAGAAATATATTATCACTGCTTGAAATAAAACATTTTTCATCTTTTCTTTTTCACTTGGCTATTTATCGGGTACACACTCACTGGGTTTTTTTGCGCAGCACTGCTCTCTGGAGGCATTTTCTACTTTTTGCGGTTCATAAACCAGGGAGGTAAGACTGAACACAGGATTACAATGTGTCAGTCTAAAATATTTTATCTTAATTTTAAAGGTGTTATAATAAATAATAAAGGTAAGATTATATTATTTAAAATTCATATTTCATCTGCCTGTCTCTGATTTACAAACTAACTGGATTTTTCTTCCAAGAGGTCTAGGGTTTGGTTCCAAACTTTTAAAGTTCTTCAGAAGTCAGTGAGTAAGGGGTATTTTATTGATTATAATTCCTAATTGATCTTATCACTGTGTACCTGGATTCCTTATTGTGCAATATATAATCTACTTTAATTGTCAGAACACATTGCAAGATACGTGTCTGTGTACTTCAAAATATCAAGAGTAATAGTTTTGAATGTATATGTACAGTTTAGTTGCTTTGAGTGTTAAAAGTGATAAGTGCAGTTCTTAATAATATGTATATTAATTACTGTGTTAATTTGATTAATTTAATATTAAAAAGGCATTTAATTGTCTTTCTAGCTGGACTCGTACTAATAATTTGTGTGGAAATTCTACAGATTTATTATTTTAATTCCATCCACTTTGTAATCTAGTTTGTAATAATATCACTTTACTCTTTTCATATAATTTTTTCCTTTTACTTCTAAGTATATAAGCATATTCTTATTACGCCTATACAAAAATAATTTTTGGAAATCTTGATTTAAGTAAGAATGTTATGAATTCAGTTTTACTAATTTACCATTTTCTTACAATATTCAGAATATTTGAATTTCTATTTCTTTTTTTAAATTCATTTTATATACTTGGATTTTTTTAAAATTTAAATTATCTGACTTTTAACTGTCATAACATTTTCAAGTGTACAAACTGAATGCAAAAGCCATTGCATATCATGATGCACATTAACATCTCTTCTCTTCTCAAATTAGGAGCATACCCAAGAATTTAGCTGGTGATGTTGCCTCATTGTTGCAGACTCCTCCGATTCACAGGAAATCATCGAAATTAGACAAAACCAGCATCTTTCGTCAGAGTACCCCAGTGCCCCAATCCATTTTAAAGAAACCTACTCAAACGCCTAAGTGTAAGGAGATTGATTCACCTGTGCTGAGTTCTATTTCTGGGTGGTCTGAAAAAGGTATACTTTTTTTTTTTTTTTTTTCAGACGAGTATAAAAATAATAATAATAAAATTAAAAAGTTAGAGAAATTATTCATTCGAAATGACATAACTGATATATGATATTATAAAGCCATTTTGGTAGGAAGCTTACAGCTGTGTTAAATTACTGTGATTGTTGCAATTTAAAATTTCTCAGATATCAAAACTGTGAAGCTGGTTTCCATTAAAACATTGCATACAGCTTTAAAGAAGTCCAGCAGTGTTGTAGAAATAAATAAATCTAATTTTCTAATGTCATATAATGAATCAAATAGAAAAGAAAGGACTAAAATGACAGGGAAAAGCAGTTTAAGACTTTGATCTTATTTCTTAATCTTGTTCTGTCTTAATTCTTGAACTGAAAATATTTTATGAATAACTCAGATAGAAGTGAAATTAAAAGGCAGATTAAAGGTCCACTAATGAAATTAGTATCTTAATGATAAAACAGTAAATATTTGGCTAGCCAAGACCATGCTTCATTTTGATATTAAAAAAATCATGATATTGAGATGTGTTTACTTTTCTGCAGGCCAGATGCATGTTCACAGCACTGTTATATTTTTTTAACTGAGCATATAATTTTTTATTCTTAATTCTAGTTAATGAAAATGAATAATAGAATTGTTTATTGTTTGCTGAAACAAATCACATACTATGTTTTATTGAACTGAAATTAACAGCACATTTCACATACATCCATGTACTTTATTAAATGTTTTTAATCCTTGTCCCTTTGCTTTGTTTATTTTCATAGCACATCATAACTTTTTATGTGCATATACATTGAAGGGCCATTACATTATGACCACCCTGTTACACGTAAGACCACCTTTAGCCCTTAAAACTGCCTTTACATTGCGAGTAGATAGTGTGGCAGCAAGAATTCGGTTTTCCTGGTGGGACCACAAATGCTCTATTGATTAATGTCAGGTGAATTTGGGGGCCAAGATATGACTTGAAAGCCACTGGACTATTCCTTGAACCACTCCCTGATGATTCAACCCTTATGACATGGTGCATTATCCTGGTAAACACCGTTCCTTGCTAGAAATACTGTTGTTATGAATGGGTGAACCTAGTCTGCAATGATGTTCACGTAGTGCTAACACATCAAGGATTGTTGTATGGGGATTATGGGTCCTAATGTGCTCCATAAAAACATTGCCCACGTCATAATATCTCTGCAACTGGCTTTTCTTCATCCAACTGTGCATCAGGGAACCAGAGTTTTGTTTGGAAATCGGCATATTAGCACACACCTGTTGATTTGATGGACCAGAAAACGTGATGTGTTGGACCATGCAACTTTCTTCCATTCTTCTAATGTCCAATTCTGATGTTTCTTGGCCCATTGCAGACGTAGCTGACATGCCGTCAGTGCAGGGTCATTGCACAGTGTGTTGAACACTCTCTGGGCTACCACTGTTGTAGCTGGTGAAGATTTCAGCTGTTATAGCACTTCGGTCATAGTAAACAATGCATAGCAATTTCTGCTCTCTTTTGGAATGAATGCGCCATACTGCTGGCTGGCAACTTGTCGTTTCACCATCCATACACCACTTTCATATGTGCTCACAACAACTGCACATAAACAGCCTACTAAATGCACTGTTTCTGATACTGATGTTCCCAGTCACCAAACCCTAAGTTTGACCTTTATTGAAGTCTGATAAGCTGCTTAAAAAAAAAAAAAAAAAAAAAAAAAGATTAAAACTCTCCAAATTTCTGCAGTATGATGTGCCAGCTTCTGCGCACACAAGTGATGACTCAACACCACGAGCTGCAAAGCAAGAGATCAGCCCGCCCATGTCAGTCGAGATGTGGGACTCTACAGAGGAAAGTTTGTGTGGCTTGCCAAATTCAAATCCATAACAAAAGTGCAACGTCAATATCTTTGCATGTACAACGAATCACGATCACATAGGAATAATATTAATCGGCAGGATGAGCAGTTGAAGGATACCGGCAGTTTTTTGGACAAACCCGTTCTGGCAGGCCATTGGTCAATGACAAGTCTGTAAACGCTATACAGGTCTGTAGAGTTACCTAAGAAGCCCAATAAACCAGTGCATGTGTGTGCTTGACAGTTACACCTAAGCAAGGCAACAGTTCATAAGGTGTTAAAACAAACGTCTATGTTTAATGTTACAAACTGCAGCTGCTGCATGATTCACTTGCTACAGATATGCTTTCTGAGATCAACAATGATAACCGATTTCTGCAGAAGATTGTGTGTAGCGATGAGACGACATTCTATGTTGGTGGACATGTTCATCGCCATAACATCCGAATATGGGCTGCTGAAAATCCTCACGCCTATGAGTACCAACATAACAGACCTAAAGTGAATGTGTAGTGTGACCTGATGCATGATAAAGTGATAGGGCCATTTTTCTTTGCAGAGCAGACTGTGATAGCAGACAACTACGTTGACATGTTGGAATTGTATACAGTGCCACAGTTTCCAGAAGGTGTCATCTTTCAACATGACGGTGCTCCTCTGCACTATGCCAACATTGTTTGCAAATTTCTGGATGCAACATTTCCCCAGCGGTGGATAGGTAGGGTTCTATCAAGGCATGGCTGCCACAATCTGCGGATCTGAAGCCCTTGGAGTTTTACTTGTGGGGTTATGTGAGTTTAGTGAGCACGTGGGGTTATATCAAGCAAAATCATTTTTTTTTTATCAACGAAGAAAAATTCATTTAAAACCGAAAAATGTTCATAACCATGTGTTAAACCTTGGTCCTTAACCATTTGCGGCAAAATTGGAGCCCAGAAGTGCACTGGCAACAACTTAGGGTTTTTTTCTTTGACACTGAAAGGTGAAACTTACGAGGTCGTTTTGTGAAAATGTCGTGCCACTTGTATTTGTGTTTGTCTGTGACTGATCAGAAGTGCACATTGACTTAAACTAATGCACTGTATGTAATAAAGCAAGGGGTATTTTTGGAAACTGACACATATTTTGTAACATACCGGTCAATAAAAAGCAAGATCAACCACGGAAAAAGTATGAACTTTTTTTTCTTTTCTTGCTGGAATGGAAAAAAATCTCTCTGATTAAAGGAACAGTAAGTCACTGCTCAACATTCAAATTTTAATAGTAAAATGTTTAAGCAAAGTCATAATATAAATACCTTTTTAGTATGACGATACAGTTTGGTCACCATGACGAAAAGATTGGACTTTTCCATGCGCGTATACAGTGGCCCGTTAATTGTGCGATATAATCGTGGCGCAAGTGAGTTATACTTTTCGCCTGTCGTGTTTAATGTTAACGGTCACGTGTAAGCTAAAGATCTAATTATCCATATGCTGTTGTCAAGTTAGAATTGGTCCCGTGTTTAATTATTTACCACTTTTCGATTTTCTAATAGCCCGATTTAAACATCTTGCGTTGTTTCGATGTCCACCCCTTTTTTTGCTTCAACTGTAGAGAATTTTATAACAAGTTAACTTGAACCCTTCGATTATGTTACCTCTAGATTTCCGAGCTGGAACTCTCCTGGTATTACAAAACGAAAGCTCTTTCGATCTCCCCCAACTCAACCACCACTGGATTTGCTGCAAAAAAGGCTTCTCCATGAAGAATGTGGAGGGGTTAGTGAAAACGTTAAAATTTCCCATTGACAAGTTAGTCTTTTTTCTCATTCTCTTCCACCTTGCAATTCAAGGAGACTTGAACAGCGGAACCTTTGCTTTCTCGACACGAAATTTTGTCTTTTATAGAATTAAAGAGAAGTATTTCATAAAATGAAGCAACGTTAAACACTAATTGAGAGGAATATTTCATAAGTAAACAAATAAATATTACGCTTCTTTTGTAAATTTTGATCCCTTTAATTAATGTTCTTTTTGTACGTTTCCCCTAAAATGGGTTTTATTTCCTAGATTTTGTGCATGCCATATTTTTAAAATGATGATTATATCCGGAATCGCCGACTACGTTGATTAGTGATTCTATTTAATTTTCTTTTGACTGTATAAACATTTTTATGTATAATATACTATTAAATTTAAGATTAAGCCCATCATCTTAAATTGTACTTTAACGTAGTAGTCTCAAACTGGTGGCTTTTAGACCACATGTAGCCAATGAATATATTTTAATTATGTATTTGTTCCAAATAGTCTTGCAAGGATTTTAAGATGTTAGTTTTTTAAATCTAGGTTTATATTACGAGCATGACTAATACACCAGAAAAATAAATGAAGTTAATTCATTTACACTGCAATACAGATCTTATTCAAAGATTTGAAGATACAGATTGTATTTTTTATTGGTACTTGTCAAAAAATAAGTATGCTCAGTTATGAATTTTTGCACTAAGAATAATCACTTTGAGAATACATTTATAAGCAACCAGCTCTTTTTCAATACTGATGTAATAAGAAAAGAACCTGATTGACCGACAAGCATCTATAGTCTATAATGAAGATAATTCCGAGGCATTTCTTTCCAAGGATACAAATTTTTATCAGAATTGAAATGTCATCAAGTGTCTAGCCTACAGCTAGACACTTGATATAAAGGTAAAGAAAGATGTAAGAGGTAAAGAAGGCTATGATTATTACACACAAATATATATATTTTTTTATGCATTGAAGAAAAGTTTAATAAATAAGAGGAAAAAGACTAGTTTATTGTTATTTATTCTCAAGTTTTGTTCCACTTGGGAAGTTTTCTCTGAAAACTTAGAAAGTACTCATAATTTATTTTTTGTTTAAATTAAATTAAATTTTCCATTGATTAATTCAGTGTATTAGAAATATATGAAATAAATATCAATCTGAATATTTAGTTGTCAATATATTTTAATTACATTGCTAGCGAACGTACTTTTCAGATAACAAAGTTTAACTTCCAAATAGAATATAAGTATTAATTTGAATTTTTTCTTTGGATATTATTATTATTTAGCTGCAGTGGCTAGTGCGCCATGGAGCAGCCCTGCAGATCCAGGGTTCGATATCTGGGATGGGCAAGGTTGACTCAGCCCTTGAATGGATTGATAAAATGAGTATCAAGCGCCCGGGGGCCCACAGTATGCACCTCGTGCACACCGGAGCCCACGGTCAAGAAAACAGATATTGAGAGAGCATGGTTCACTAAGGGCGGTTACACCATTGCGTTTTAATTTTTTTTTAAATGTATGTTTTGATAAGTTTTTCATAAGAGAAATTTAAAATTTATTTAAAATATTTTTTATTTTGCTAACTGATCCATTATTTGTTTTTAGATTGGCCATGTGGCCCACTTGCAATCTTTGCAATCTGAGTTTAAGACCACTGCTTTAAGTATGTCAAGGGTAGTAAGATAGTGTGATGAAGACAGAATTATTTATAAAATATTCAAACCCAAACATTGTTAGAAATTAAATGATGAATTAAAACTATGTGATTTTCACATTCCTTGTAGAAATGTGATAAGTTTTAATAAGTTGTTAATTATTCTAATGCATTGTCTTAAAAAACAGAACCAATTCTTTGGTTTTGTTGCACATTAAGAACGTGTGAATGATATTTTGGAAAATTTTAAAGCTTTGCATTTTATTCTTTTAGATAAAGAATCTGATGATGAACTTTTGCTGGATACTTTAACAGAAAATCCACTTATAGCTGATTGTAAGCTTTTCTTAATTACTTTTTTAAATGTCACTTATGTAATGTATTTTTTTTTACTTGTTTTTATTTTTTAAGACAACAATTTCTTTTCTGTTCCTTTTTTTTTTTTTTTTTTTTTTTTTTTTGTAGCTGAAAATCTTTCCAGACAAATCAGATTCAATGTAACTGTAAAAGATCAGAGTTCTGTGTAAGTTAACATTTTTATTTGCTTGTTATTAAGTGCAGTTAGTTAAATAGATTTTGCATAATTATATTTGATTGATTGTATATTGATGAAGTGAATATTTGAATTAAATTTATGTTTGGTTTGTCAGAGGAAAAAAACATTGAAATTTTAAAATGCTCCAATTTATTTCTGAATTTTGCTTTTTGCATAATAGCAGCACAAATTCATTCAAAATTTTGTTTTTATATAGAAATACATAGTGTAAATATGGCAGTGGTCTATTATTAAATCACTGAACACTAATAATTAACCATTATTCATATCCCAGCAAACAGACTACTTGCATTAAAGATTTTGTGTTTTTTCTTATGTGTTACATGAATATGAGCCAGTCTTTTTTTGTATGCTATGCATGTCAAACGTCAAACATGCAGCTCTTGTTTGTTCCTTTTTCTGTGGTCTTTGCCTCAACTCACAAAGATAACAAGAAGTATAAGTTATAATACATTAATAAGAATTTAGAATTCCAATTTATAGTGAGGTGTATGTTTGAGTTTGTACAGTGCCAGTCTGTTTATAAATGGAGTTAATAGAAATTCAGCATGACTGAAGCAAAATTTCAGTGAAGTGAGTATCCCCAAAGTTTTTGAATACCTGCTCATGTGGTTTCCATGATTTCCATGTTCGGTAGTATGTATCAATGTAAATAATTTTTCTCACTTGTGAAAAAGGAATTCGTAATGAGATCCAAGTTAACAGACATTCATCAGAATATATCACCAGAAATGTCCTTTGGAATCATCAGGGATGTCCTGTGAAATGCCTCAAGACAATTTTAAAGATATATTAAAGCAAGTTGTTGGAAAAAAATGCAAGGTGTTGGGAAAGAAACTGTAGGTTTACTTTTACCACCAGCATTCCTTATGTTCTTCCCATTTTTTATACACCTTTAGTACAATACAAATTCCAAGATTCAGATTGGCCAGAACTTCAGCAATTCCAGGTTTAAAAAATTTCAGTATTTTAGATTGTGAGGTTAAAGCTAGCAAGATGACATGTAAACATGGCAGCAGACTTGTTTAGGCACATGGAACTAAGCTCCCTGTTGGGCAGTTTAGGGCAGAAATGATTAACTCCAGGTAGCAAAAGCCCCCACAGGCCAGGCATATGTGTAACTAGTGGTCAGCCTCAGATCCCCTTTTAATTTTATCTTCCCAACAAAATTTTATGGCCCCCCCCCTTTCCTTCCCTTCCATTCCCCTAATTCCCCCTTTCTTTTTTTTTAGCTTCAACACCCAATTTGGGGACAAAGACCTGCTGCGGGCAAGATAATTTAGCCTTAGCCCTGCCCTCCATGCACTGAAAGTGTGATCCTGGCGAATATCAATATAATGTCAGTCAATGCACTGTTATTGGCAATGTGTGATCTGCTGCAGATGTTAATTGAGAGAAATATCTCTGTCAGTCTGGAGGAAAACTGCATTCCTAGATTTTATGGGGCGGATTTTTTAAAAATTTGTATATTTATTTTTTCAGCTAGTGGTCCGTAAGTCCAAATATTAATTCATTCTAAATATTAGGCATCCTGATTTCACACTTTGTACTGTATTAAGATTTTATCTATTTTTTAAATATATGATTAAATATGAAATAGTTTCCCCTTTGCTTTTCTTCCCCTCCCTTGCAGCCCATTCTGATTATTAGCCCCAATCCAGTCCATAGAACCGCCGTATAATATCAATTTGGTAAGGTAACTGGAAACATATGTATTTATCACTGTGTTTTAAATCAAATAATCCTCATCCTTATACATGTATTCGTACAAGTGATTTGTGTAAATTTTATTGTTGTGAATATTCATGTGAATTTTGTCATTTGTGAATTTCCGTGTGATTGTCATTATGTCGCTAAAATCATGCTTCGTTTCATTAAGTTTTAAATTTTATAATAATTATTTAATAAATTTTTCTATCATTGTAGTTCATGTTATGTACTACCGTAAGGCTTAAGTAGAAGCTAGTGTTAAAGTAGAAGCTTCTAGGTTTATTTATAGAATTTTTTCCTTGAAAAATTGTCAGCTTTAAAAGAAAAAAATATTATGGATTTTCCATTAAACCATTTAGAAAGTGTATAAGTAACTTATTATGTGTGCTGTAAAAGAGCACATTAGATATATTTTTATTTTCAAAACCTACTTTTTTATACAGGATGTTTAAAAAACATTATTACAAACTTTATTTTCTTGAATATCAATTTTAGTATACATTTCCAGTTCTAAATAAGATAGAGCATTTACCAAGAATAGTTTTAGTACTGTGAATAGGAGAGTTCTGTAAACATAAAATTTTAATTTTTTTTTATAGAGTTCCCCATTGAACAAAAAATTCCATTAATAAAATATTGATTTAGCTTTGCAGTATCCAGAAATAATTGAAATAATAATATGGATTAGTTAATGTGTTTAGACTAAGTTATTGAGAAAGTCAGTTGTGACAGTTGAGCAAATACTGTTATGTGAGTTTATGAGATATGGGATGTAGTTTTTCAAAAAAGCTTTACAAATGTTCTGAAATATTAACTGAGCATTCAAAGTGCGCATCAAAATTTTACTTGTATTTAACTTTTTAGAAAATTGATTTGATCCTTATAAAAATTTGAAATAAAAGAGGCAAAAACCAAACAATTTATTAAAATCAGGCATCTAAATAGTTCAATTTTAGGAACAGGAAATGTTATGAGATGAGGGATAATTAGAATCTTTAATCAGTCAATTTTTATACTTTGATTATTCTAGTGTTAAAAGTATCTTGAAAACACATGAGTACCTGTTTGAGCAGCAGTGTGAATCTGATGTAGAACAATAAAATTCAAACAAAACAATGTCTCTTTATTAAAATAATAGATTGAGCTTCCATTAATCTGTGTCATAGATTATTATTGCAGTGTTCTTTTGAACAGTTCACTGATTGATACTTGAAGAAGATGGAAAACTGTGATATTTTGGAATGAAATTACAGTGTTGAATGCATTAAAACTAATTCCTAAGGCTTTAAGTGAAGTTAAAAGCAGAACTTAATACTAAGTTGATGAAAAAATATTATTATGAATACTGTAATATAAGAAGGTTCTATTAACAACTAAGTAGCAGTGTCAGATGTTATTGAAATTATTTTTACTGTCCAAGTAACTTGTTACGTAGGAAAAAAAATGAAATTTACTTTTTACATTTAACTCTTTTAAACTGACTACTTCTTGGTGCCGCGACAAAAACAAGAAGCACCCCCCCCAAAAAAAAAAACTCAACTAAATAAGTAACTAAGTACTCTCATAATCCAGATCATAACACTTTTAAATCAAAGAAAATAGTCTCCCTGATGTTTTGGTAAAATAACGATTATTTGTTCAAACCAAAATGCAAAAAGGCATTTCCACAACAAAAATCATTAACACGCTATCTCTCACTGAAATGAAACTAAATCAGATCTCTAACCTGAAGACACATAAATTTCAATACAAATCTAGGCATAGCCATAAAACACTTAACATTCAAAATACCGCTCAGATCTCTTCAAAGCATCAGGGAAAGATATATCTCACATTTAAGAAGTCTACTCATCAAATCAAAATAAATTAAGTAAGCCGATCGTATAGTCACAACTCTTAAAACTGATTTTTGTACTACTGCAATATGGTTACTCAGGTTCGATTGAATAACCATGCTCTGTAAGGATCACATGGGTGACTTACAGTAGACCACAATTAAAATTCAAAAGAAACATACAATAATTAATTAAAAAAACACATTTATTAAATATTCCAAATATTATAATTTTAGATAGCTGATCAGACTATCCCTACAAAACATACTCTTACAATATACTCATTATTTCAATCTTGTAGTTAACGTTATTCAAATTATACTAAATCATATTGAAACACGTCACAGTTCTTTAATCATTTTAAACAGGAACTCAAGAAATTTAAACTCATTTATAAAAGCTAATTTAGAATAAATCATATTTCTTTCAACTATGACACATCAGTATATTCATTCTCGGTCAATTGAAATTACATGAAACACACTTGCACATTAATTGAGCTAAAGTTTAAACAATACTAAATATTATGCATTAATTTTTAAATACAAACATTACAAATTCATTGTTCACAGTAAAATAATATAATTACTAAATACCTTATGCACAGTAAAATAAAACATAATAATTGTACACAACAAATAATACATAACAATTTTCCATAACAAACTGAAAGTAATAACTGAAGGAATTGCAGATGGTGAAAGAAAAGTATTCAGTGGAAGGTAGTGAATTTTATGTATTCAAAACAAACTTCATGCAGTGAATAAAAAAGGCACAACAGAATACTATAAGCAGGAAAGGCTGCTAAAAATAGCAGTGTACATTTGGATTCTGGATCTGCTATTTAATGTTTGAAGTCTAGTTTAATGATATTATATTTTTGTGTGCAGGTTGTTGTAGAGCTTAAGGGAATGTGAATATGACAAGTTTCAGCATTGGCAGAGCTAATGTCTGAAATAAATTCACTGTGTGCCTACATGTTCAGGCAGAAGGGGACTGTTTTATAAATGATAATTAAGAAAGATAGTTAATTAAACCTTTATTTTTATAAAAATGTATTGTATATTTTAAAGGAGCATAAATATTAAAGTCAAGCTGTAGATTATGTTTTAAATATACTGTATATTTTAAAGAGGCATAAATATTAAAAATGTAGGTTATTTTTTAGATGATGATTAAGAAAAAGAATTAATTAAACTTTTATAAAATTGTACTGTATATTTTAAAGGGGCATAAATATTAAAATCCAGCTGTAGGTTAGTGCTTCTTTTGTGCAAAAACTGCATTCTAAAAGACCTCTGTCTCACTCTTTGGTTCAAGTGCATAGCAGGTTTATATTTATATGCATAACCAATGCCAATATAAGGTTGAATTTTGCCTTTTACGAAAGTTCAAACTTATCAAATGCATATTTTCATGGTGCATTAATATAATTTATTTTTGGTGAGTATGAATAAAATAAAAAGTACACTGGATCAGAAATTTAATGTGGGACTATGACTTCATATTTTTTGTTTCCATGTATAAGAATTATGTAATTCATAAATTTTTAACAACAAACTATTGGATCTGAAAAGGGGTGATGAAAATAGCTTCACCTGAGAAATTATTACTCAACTGCAAATTTTCACTACTTGTTGAATCCACCTAAAATTCTTCGGAAAAATTCTGTCTTGGCAGATATTTGTATAATTTTACTTTTCAGATTAATATCATATACAGTTTGAATGAATATGAAGGTAAATGGAAAATATACAATGACTTATTATGATTAAAATTTTCAATAATAAAATATATATGCTTTAATCACATTTTGAATTGAAGATATTGTACAGTGGAGCTGATTGAAAATGAGCAATTTTGGCTACACCTCTCTCCCTCTTCCCTAATGGCCAGTAGCCGGGCTTTTATTTTTAATAGAATAAATAAATAAAGTGACAGTAATGTTTGTTATTTTTTATTACATTCAATGTGAACTTCAAATTTGCATTTGAAATCTCATTTTGTTTAAATCATATAAATGAAATATGTATCTTTGCATGAAGAAAAAATACATTTTATGGCAAGATTCAGATAAATACCACTTTCTTTCACCATCTTGGATTCTGAAAAGCACTATCTCTCTCAGATGCAAAAATTCACTTTGGATTTACTCAAAGTGTTTTGTGTAAATCACTGAACTTTTTAATAATAATTTTATTTATGGCAGTTGATTCACTTAAAAAAAGTCTTATCTGAAATCTTTACAATATTTTATAGCTCACTGTGTTTAAATATAAACATATTGTGATAATTTGTTTAATTATAAAATATGTATTCATTTTTGAATAAGAACATAAAAAACTTGATAAGTGCTATTTATCAGTCAATATTTTTAGAGCTGGTCCTCCTGATGAGTACTGGAAAATGTTTTTGCTGAATTATTAATTATAACCTCTAACTTTTTTCTCTGTTTATTTTAAAGCAAGGAAAGTACTATACCCCCAGAAATTGTTTCTGGTACAAGCAGTGAACAAGGCGAGCCATTGATGGAGAGCTCTATTTCCCAAGTTGAAAAATCCAAGAACTTAAGATCTAAATTAAATGTTCACATTTCCGAAGTAAATGAAGGTATTATGCAGAGAAAAGCGCTGACTGATTTAAAAAGACGGCATTTGAAACTAGCATCAGAAAATATTACTCCTGTTCCTCCATCTGAAAGTGTACTTTCTGAGAAAAGCATCAATTCAATAGAGTTCGTGGGAAGAAGTATAGAGGTTGCTTCCAGTGCATCAGATTCACTTAGTAATTTGCCTGAATGCTTCCATGAAGAACCAGTGTCGGAAGAAAAGATAGCAAAGGTTACTGTTACAGATGAGAAAATGGAATCTAAGCTCCCTGTTTCATGTGACATTGAAATGTCTAGTTCTATAATGGGACAAGAAGATTCTGTTTTCACAGCTCCACCAAGAAGGCAAGTATAATCTTTTGTACTATTGTAAAGTTATGTAGATATTTAAATATATAACTGACTATCAAATTTTGAATAGTACAAGATATGTTCATTCAGCTTTCAAGCTGTTTGTCTGCTAATTTAAATTTCACAACAAAAAGTATAAATTGAATTAATTTGTTCCAAACCTTCAGAATTTATCCAATGTAAAAATATTTAAAAACCTGTTTCAAAACATTATGTGGGTAGTTAACAATAAAGAAGGTATATTTAAGTAATTATCGTAAATTCCGGCGTACAACGTGCACTTTCAAAAAAAAAAAAAAAAAAATCATAACTTATTGGTGCGCATTATACGCTGTACATAAAAACGATAGATTTGGAAATAATGAATGAGCATAAAAAATTAGATTTCTATATATAACTAAATGCTGTTTATTTAAAAAAAAATGACATGCCTTATGAACTTTAAAATTTTCATTGTGGGATAACAAAAAATTTATTATATTCATCTTCTGTTGTATCTTCACAATCAGTTACTCTGATCCATAAATAGATAATCATCTTCTATTTCATCTAGATTGTTAGATGTACTGCACTTTTTAAATGACTTTTGAATTATGTCGGGTTTAATTTCACTCAATGCTTTTATTATCGACTCGCACACTATTTTTAAACTGGCATGACACATTTGGTCTCTTTTTGTAAATGTTTTTTCACCTAACATCCACATGTTTCACTGTCATTTAAAATTTTCTTTGAATGGTTTGTTGATACACACATCTAAAGGCTGAACTAATGGCATTAATATGCCTGGAATAACTGCCATATCTGTATTATACTCTTTGAATAATTTCTTCGTGTTATCCATTGTGTGAGATATTAACACATCCCAGACTTAAAGACTTTCTGTATTCTTTAAGGCAAAAGGACTCTTTTGCCAAACACTTATCTATAGTTTCACATCTTTTGGTCCATCCACCCTTTCTCATGAATATGAATGAAAACACCATTTGGGAAATTGCATTTTGTCATCGTCTTTCTTTTAATTTTGAACTTTTGGTGAAGAGGGATATTTCATGATCTATTGTTTTCATGTGAACCTTTTTTGTTCCTCACATCACTTGTTTCATTTCCTATAATAGCATTCTCAAAATCCTACAGTAGCATTCTTTTAGACAATTGCATACAAGCTTGCATAGAAACTTGTTTTAACTTTGAAGAAAAAGTTGTTCAGTAATGTTTGTTCTTCCACCTTTTTTTAAATGCTACATTATGTGTGCCATAAAATATGTTGCACATTTTCTAATTAATGTTATATTATATATAATATAGAATACACAGCATAGAAAGGCATGAAGGGCTTTGCATGAATATGGATGATTTATAGCCAGAATGCGTTTTTTAATATTTATATTCTAATTAATGTTTTCATATTAAGTTTTTGAGTCATAGATGAGTATTCCGGAATAGTTATTTAGTGTATGTAATGAAAGTATATTTCTTATTGTTCACCCTTTCCTTTATTAGAGATAGTTCTCAGCTGCTTCTTGCTTTTGTTGTGGGCAGTTTTAGTTTGGCAATTTTTAAAAAATGGGCTAAAAACCTTTTTCTTTAAGGGAGATGAATTTGCAGAATGTGAAAATCAGTTTTTCATATTAGAAATAATATATAAAAATTAACAGTTTTAGTTAAATAATTATTTAACATTTTGATTTAAAATTGCATAAGCATATGTGTCAGCTAAACATTTGAGATGCAGATTGTTTAATATTAAAATATTTTTATTGTGAGTATTCATACAGTTTTTTATTTTTAAATTTGCTCTTCTGAATGAAATGTATTTTTTCCTGTATGTAGTCAATGTGATTTCGCTCGGTATAGATTAATTATGTTAATATTTAGTTTAATGTTAATTATGCTAATTTTGACGTTGAACTATTAATTATGTTAAGTAAGGTTTTAATGTAAACAGGTTACTCAACATTTTCTTCTGAATCAGTAGCAGAATCTGATTTGTGTAAGCAATCAATATCTTCATCTGAATATCAGAATCTGTTCCATATTAATAGTCTTTATTATGGGCTAACTTTATCTTGTACTTTTATGTAAAGAGGAGCAGAACTGAGTAAATATTTTTATGTTAATGTATGTTTTTAATTAATGAGCATATACTGTAAAGACCTTATTTTGTTCTAACCAATTATTTTTAGTTTAAGAAACTTTCCTTTTGAGTTGAAAACAGTATTTAAGCAGCACTTTTTGAGAGCTTGCGGTAAGAGAGTTAGTTCTGAATTTATGCCACATGGTTAGTTTAGTAAACTTGTAGTGAATAGTTGGTGCTAGTCACTTTCTTTAGATTATATTGATATTCTAGGCTCGGCTTTGCTGTGTGCAGCCGATTTAGGGGTTTAGATAGGAGAAGCCAGTAGTGTAGCTAATCTTTGCTTTGTTGTGATTGTACATCCTGTTTTCAAGTTACTTAGGCACAAGTGGTGGTTAAATTGCAAGCACCGAGTGAGTGCGCTTTTGTTCAGTTTAGTTAAAATAAAAAGGCTATTAAAACCTTCTTTTGCAGTCATCTCTTCTTTCAAGACCTAGCGAGAATTTGCTGCTTCGGCTTTGAGTAGGGTCTACCAATTTATGATTCCGAAACACACAAGAAAACTCTACAATAGTCATACTGTTTGCTCAGTAAGGAAGAATAATAAAAAATTTTGTTTTTAGTCCATTTTAGTTTTAATCTGCTTAGTTTTATGTTCTAAGATTGTACTCCAATTTTTACACATTTTTATGTGACTATATGAAAATGCTGTTCCAGTCATGGGGTTATTCCTTAAGTTGTTACAAAAATGCCTGACTGCTTGAATTACTGCTGAACAGATCTTTTAGACCTCTATCCTATACTTGTCTCACTCGCATCACGTTTTCATCGTTCACCTTGATTCTTAAAGGATGCTTACTTTTTCCTTCTCCTGATCCTTCACGCTTCCCATTTCATAGAACTTTTTTGCAGCAGTGGAATTTGTTTTCAAAATTTGAATACTGTTTCTAGGAAACTTTTTTTGGGAAATCATTTTCATGAATATTTATACAAATGCCAAACATTTGGCCACTAGTCATTACTCTTGATCTTGCTTCTCAATACTCAAGAATAATAGAATTAGAATATCATAGTGCAGTGCTTTCATCAGTATGCTCCTTATCCATGGATTGCTCAGAGTTACAAAGAGTACAGACTGAAGAGTTCTTAAGTTGACTTTTTAAAAGATGAGTATCAGATGATCATGCCCAGTCAAAAGACGAAATAAAGCTACTTCTACAGGATGAGGAAAATCTAGAATACACAGCATAGAAAGGCATGAAGGGCTTTGCATGAATATGGATGATTTATAGCCAGAATGCGTTTTTTTGCTGTGAACATATTGTTGAGTTTTTTCTGACACCAGCTGTTACGTTACGGGGTTCGTGCAGATTTGGAGTGAATAATGATAACACTACTTGATAAAATACCAAAACACACTTTATTTACCAATATTAATCCAAAATCACGTTCAGTTGTCGAAGAACTACTATAAACACGCTGACACAATCAGCGACGTAGCCTTCACACTATCAGGCTATAACGGAGGAGACAGCTTCACTGCAAAGCACCAAAAAACAGCTTTCGACTCTGCTCGGTCATTCTCGGAACTCCACGTGCTCTCAAGACTCTCCACACTACAACTCGCGGTGCACTCGACGACACACAGAGCACAGCTCACTATTCTTCGTTTCAATCGTTCCCGGAGCTCAACACACTTTTTCGACGATGCACTAAGAGACTCCTTCGGTGCACTTGACAACCAACTGGGCACGTGCTGCCCGGCTGTCAACTCAATCGTCTCCGTATGGACTAACTAGCTGAGACCGACTAACTCGCACTCTACGAGGCACGCATTGAGTGACTGCAGACCAGCAGGGTTGTGTTTGAGAACATTCTGGGCTAAACCGGTAAGAATGCGTTCCAGAAGGTTCTCCATCCATCCATGGCATATTGCTAATTTTGTCGCCAAATGGGTGATTTCTCGCCAAATGTGGCAACCCTGCCTTCATTACTATTTCATGACACCCCTAAAACTGCTTTAAGGGGAAGCCATCTTACTGTACCTGGTACATTTCATAACAATATGAAGCTTCTTTTGGTAGCTGGCTGTCATCTTGATTCGAGTGTAGTGTTGTCTACTTCAAGAGGGAAAGGGGTGGAATTTTTTTTAAAAATCATTCTTCATTATTTATTAAGTAGTATATCTTTTATGTTCTCAGAAAGCATACAGCACTCCCAAGATATTTATGCAAATCTACACCACCCAGCATGTTGTTCGTTGAGACTTCAAGTTTGTTGTTGGTAATTTTTAAATGAAGAAATGAGTAAATGTGGATAAGTTTGATGCATTTCTAAGAAACACTCCACGTATAGTTACATGTTATGTTTACACGATGGAAAAGCATTTATTTTAGAATCAAATTTGTTCCATATTTGTAGAATGAATATTAAGTAATTTACATAATTTTGAAAAGAAATTTCAATGTTTTTCTGTGTAATATTTGCAGTAGTGCAGTAACAGTAGTTTTATTGGCTAGATGTATTTAAAAAAAGATTCAGTTAATTACCTTTTAAAAAAGATATTTGAAAATAGTGCATTTTTATTTGTACAGTTACTAAGCTTGAAATCTCTAAATTTCAGGTCTTTTGTCATCAGTCCTCGTCGTCCATTAAGACAGAGTAATAGTATTTCACCACAGTGTGAGCAGGATACAGAAGAAAAAACTAAAACAGGTATGATACACAAGTGTTTATATATATATATGATGCATGAAACATATATGTAAGATGGATATATGTGTGCTATTCATTGTTTAAGAATGAAGTTTCTCTTTATTTGAAGAATATTATTATCCTGTTCTGTTAGGATATGTTTTCTATGCTGTGTAAGGCAATACTAGCTGCTTTCTGTGTTTCCTTTGCTGTAGAGGAGAGCACTGATCATTAAAAATAATTTTTAGCCGCAATAATTTAAAAGATTATGTGTGTAAATATGATAAAAAGCTCTTGTAAGTGAAGGCTTTTTATGGAAATCTGTGTTAAGATTATTTCATCATCTTGGAAAGCATTTTCAAATATGGCTTTAGCCCTTTTTACTGTGTATGATGATCACCATTTAAAATTTTTAAATACAATCTTATATGAAAAAGAACCATAGCTTTATAAAATACAGTATCTCAAACCAGTGCAGTACTATCTTCATACAGCATTCACAAGCAGGAGCACCTACAATCATGCTTTGGACTGGTGTAAGTAACAGTACAGATATTGCATTTTTTTCTCCTTTTTCTTTGCTGTATTGTATTTAGCTAAAATGCTAGAATCCCATATATTCATTTTAGCCTAATACTGATTAAGTTTTTATTAGAGATTTTATGACAGGCAGAAAGAGTGATAATGTTTAGTATACTCTGCATTGGATTAATTATCTCTGATGGATTAATGATGTCTGCATTGGATTAATTATCTCTACAGTATGTAATGCAGCCTACAATATGTTATTGTTAATGTCTTATTTTGTATAAATTATGAAATAAACTATGCATGTCGCACATTTTGTATAAATTATGAAATAAACTATGCATGTCGCACAAATATGATATAAAATTAGATTTTGATGTTATCTGAAATAGCTGTAGCCACTTTTACAGTGAATTTCATTAAGTAATTAAATAAAGAAATAATTACAGAGGGTGTTTACACATTTTTAAAACAATTTTGGGGCCTTTTAATTAATGTTTAAAATACAAAGAGTATTTTTTTAAATGTTTGATCTGATACCTTTCTTCTGGACTATAAGTTTGAATTGTGATTTCCGTGACAGAAAGACTTTTCAAAGAATTTTGTAGGGTATTGATTTCCATTTATCTTCCACTACTTTCCAGAATCTATTAAGCATGGTAGTTTCATGCTTAGAAATGGCTCTTTTCATCACTTCACTTTGTGGGAATACATTGAAAAGATGTATATGCAATACATATATTAGTCTTCATTTTTACAAGGAATGGAATGATACTTTTCAAGTCTTCATTTTTACAAGGAATGGAATGATACTTTTCAAAGTGTGACTTGTTGCTTTGTCTTGATGAAGTTTCACTCTTTGAAAGTCACCTCGGTAAAGAAATGGAATTTCTTCTGTAAACATTAGGTATAAAACTTTCTTTTGATGACACATAGAGTTGATTTTAAGAATTCCCCCCCCCACTCTTTTTTTTAAATTTTCTATTATAAGATAACCTTGTGACAACCATAAATCCCTAACTGAAATATTTTTACATTGATAAAACAGGTTTATACATTTTTTTCTTTTCATTTTTGGTAATACATAGAACTTTTTTGGCCACAGTCATATTTAAGAGGTCCGTGGTTCAAGTCCCGGCGAGGGCATTACTCATTTTTCATTTCTCCTGCTTTCAAAAATAACTTAATGGCTCTACAGTGATGTGATGCTCGAACTAAAAAGGTGGAGGATGATGATTGTCCACCATCAGGATTTTGCAATTGGATCCCCTAATCCCCAGTCATCCTTTAAAAGAGGGAGTATATAAGGTATTTCTTTTGCCTTCTTAGCTTGCCTTCGTGGTGTAGTGGTCAGCACACTTGGCACATATTTGAGAGGTTTGAGGTTCAAGTCTTGGCGAGGGGATTGCTCATTTTTCATGTCTTCTGCTTCGAAATAACCTAATGTCTCTACAAGCTGTTTCCAAAAAATTTTTATTCCAAGACATTTGGTTTGTTCTTATTCTTTATCAAAATCAGTGGCGTAGCTAGGGTTCCAGCGACCGCGGACAATTCAAGAATTTGCACCCCTTTCTGTGTGCCAAGAATGGAAAACATTTCATTAAAAAATTCCGTAGCATCAGTTGGGTGCCACCTGGATGCTGCGCCTGGGAACAGATGTCCCACCTTGCCCCCCCCCCTAGCTACGCCACTGATCAAAATCGTTCTAAAAATGGGTAAATGTTCTCTGCAAATGTATGAATTTGTGCTTATATTTATTAAGATTTTATATTGAATACTTAATTTTAAAAAATACAAAATTGGATTTATCATAATCTTAGACTGAGGCTGGGTTGATAACAGTAAAAAGAAAAAAAGCAAATAAATCATGATTTTAAGATTAAGAGATGATGTAGATTCAAAGCAAGCAAGATTGTCGTTATCATCCAAGTCTGTCTCTCTAGTTAAATTATGTTTAAAAAAAGGGGGAAGGGAAAGCAAAAGATTTTTTTAAAAATTATTAATTTAATAGGGGAAGAAAAGTTGAATGTTTAACCATTATATTGATTGCTTCCTTTTTAAAGTGACCCCAGATACACTTTGGTAATATTTAAAATAAATCTGATGAAGATTAGGAAACAGCATGGCAACCTTTAAAAAAAAAAGGGGGAAAACCACAGTATGTGGGGGATAGCATTTATATTACTTGCAAATACCATAATTGGGCAATTGCTGTTGCTATAGAATTCAATATTTTCTCTTTTTTTACATATTGCTGCCACATAAATTTTCCTAAATATGAATTCAATGTTGAGCCATTCATCTTTGACTTCTGTTTATCATGTGGCTGCATCCCAGAATCATCCAATTTTCTATCCATTTACAAGATTTATTGAAGCTGCAGAGTTGTGTTTATGACCTTTTATTTGGCCTTTTCTAATTCCTTGCTCTGATGGGCATGCCAGCAATCTGAATATATTTTATTTCCTTCAAGTATGTGTTCTTTTATTAACACAATTAAAGTTTTGGTTCCTCTGCCCAGTATTTGCAATAGAAATATCCATTTGTTTTCCTGCAAATTGTTCCCAAATCCCATTGTTTAAGCAAAATCCTGCCGTCTTGTTTGAGTTTGTTTTGACGAGGCTTTTAGGTGCACCAATTTTAACTTTCTAGGATTTGATCAAAAACCAGCAACAAACTCCTACCAAATAGCAGTTCTAAACATTCGTTGTTTTCACTCATATTTAATTATCTTGTGCATTGTATGATAGAAACTAGTTTTGCAGTCTGACAGTTTATGAGCGCAAAGCAGTACGAAAATGAATCCTGGATCCTTAAAACCAGTTATCAGTATGAAGATAGCTTTTCTTCATCAGCTTTACACTGCATTTCCAAATTTATAAATATAAATGGAATTATTTGTTTCCCAATAAATAATGCCATTTAGTGCTCATTTTTGCACTTTCGCTTAGTATGCAAAATGTTATGCTCCTGGGAGGGGGAACACTGCTTTTTATTTTCAGTTGATAGTAACTTAAATAACATTTTAGAGGCAATAAAATAATGAAGTATATAAAGAATGGACAATGCAGTGAAGAAACTACTGCTTATTTTTCAACTGATGGAAAATTTAAAATTATAATTTTAGGTAGAAAATAATTAACAAAAGACCAATATCACACAGTCTAATGAGTGTGACAATCAAATATGCTGCAAATTATAACTATTACAAAAAACATAACATCGTAACACAACAGTCTGAAAATCAAATCTGTTACATGATAAAAATCTGAAGGTTTAATTTGCCGAGTTTGGCAACTGAAAGTTTACCAAATTTGGCAAGTGACCGCTATAAAAAGGAAGAACTTGGTAATGTTCTTGTAAAGAATTTCATTATGAGTTAATTAAGTCTTAAATCAGAAATGTTGTTCTCTCTCTCTTTTTTAAATTTTAAATTTCTTCAAATTTCAGTGGTAAAAATTTCACAAATGAAAAATTTGGGGCATATTTGAAGTTAGAACACTACCTCTAAAACCAGCATTACACTATTAAGTCAGTATATTTGGTTTGTTTAGATGTAAGATAATGATAATTACAAACAGTTTCTTGTCTTTTTCCAGTCCCACTGTCTACTTGATTAAGCATTTATTTAGTTATGAAAAATGCAATGAAACTCCGATTATATGGAATGCACTGATTATGAACACAGCCAATTTCAATAATTGTTTCTCGTTTCTGGAAGCCAAATACTTTTTTTCTGTAATGCAAAGGAAGAAATTATTTTGTTAATGATATTCTGTTTCAAAAAGGGGCTGAGATAAGGACAAAAAAATTGCACCTTATTCTGCAGGAAAAAGGGTGAAATTTATTCTTGAGAATAGGAGTGTCTTTTACAATATAAAGTAACTAACTAGTTGATAAAACTGTATTCATGCTTCATATTGTAAGAAAAAAGTCATTGAGTAGAACATACTAACATAGAGTCATAAGATATGTTCAGCTTGATAAGAAATAATACTTAACAGTAAGTGATGCTTCAGCTCATACAGTAAGTATTGTATGTTTCTAAATGTAAACTACTTCTTGTATAAGCTGAGAAGCAAGTTTTTTTACCGAAAAAATTGGTCACAATTGAAAACTCTTGTATGAGCCAAATTTAAAATTGCCTTATAAATCCAACTGTATTATCAAAAAATAATTTGTTGTCTAACTTAGCCAGATATATTAGATAAGTTGAAAGTGGGTGTCATGTCCTCATCCATTCAAAATATAGATAAAAAATAATCATCTGATTATTCAAAAAGTGCTGTATCAGCAGTGCTTCAGATGGAACTGAATTTATTGATAAAATGGAGCTATTCCTTCCATTATCCATTTTTAGAGTTGAATTATTTGTAAGGCTCTGTGAACTGTAAAAGCTGACCCCAAATTTCGGTGATAAAACTTTGCTAAAACTTCTTGACTTTTGCTTAGAAATACAGCCAAAAGTCTTTAATCCGGACGTCCATAATCCGGAATGATCTATAATCCGGACCTCAAAACAACAAACTTTCTATGCATGCCTAAACACATAACGCGTTTACACATGTGCATAATACGTTTATGCGTGCACATAATATGCTTACACATGCGTGTTTAATGTATAACGGACGGTATAAGCTAAGCTAAAATTATCTAATTATCTATTTCAGTTAATGTTGCAGATTGCGTTGTTCCTTAATCTTCTAACTGGATATGGCTTATTATTTTTTTGCAGACTGTTAGAGCAATTTTATAAAAGTAAGCTTGAACTTTCGATTATGTCAAAAAGAATTTCCGATTCTGGAGCTGCCAAAGGATCTACAAAACGAAAGCATGTTTTGATGTCCATCAAACAAAAAGTAGATAAAGGCATATCCTTTGTTTCTCTAACCATTCCGAAATCTGTTTATCAATTTCATGCTGCTCTGCGTGTGTGGGGGGAGGGGAGTCGCGGCGCGCAATGAACTGGAAGTTGATCTGTCAGCACTATCCTTATCTTCACAGGGCAGATGTTTTTATTTTATTCGGCTTATAATTCCTTACTAAATGTGATATTTCATCTTGATGTACTCCTTTGATATGATTTAAATCAAATTCTCATCATTATAAATATCACGAATACACATCAAATAGTTTTCTGGTTGCAATTTTCTAATTTCGACTATGCGTAATGTATGCTTTACGCATGCGTGCGTTAAAATGCAAAATATGCGCGTTGAAATGCTATGCATGCACGTTTAATGTTTACGCATGCGCGTTTAGCACAAAAAACGAAGCAACCTAAAGAACTTATATTGAAAAAAATGTTTAATAAAGTAAACATATAAATATTAAGCTTTTTTTTGTAAATTTTTATACCCTTTAGATCATAATTGCTCTTTATTTCATAAATTATGGTTTCATATTTAATTTTATAATTTCTGCATGCCATCTTACTAGATTTAAACTGATGATCTGTAATCCAGAAAAACCGATAATCCAGAACTCGACGAGTGCAGATTAAAGACTTTTGACTGTATATTGTAATTGTTTTTCCATGCATTTCTATTATGACCCTACATATGGCCTACATATTTGCAAAATGACTTCACAGTTTGTGTGCGCATATCTTTTCAGTGCAAAGAACTTTCAGTGAAAGAAAGTTTTTTTAATTTATTGTTACATGGCCTTGCAAATATAACCAGTTCTCAGTGTGTTACCGGTGAGCATTAGATCTTTGTCTTTTGAGTTTAATTTACTAACCGAAAGATTGGAAAACAATAGATATAGTTATTTAATTAAAAATAACAATACATCTAATGGATATAAATTAATGTATATTTCATTTATAATGTGTCCAACTTATAATATATATAATTATTTGCTGCTTTTTTGTAATTAATAAAAAGTCAGGTGTTTCTAGTAGTATATGTTATGTATCTGGGACAGAGATGATTAGTTTTATTTTATGTTTACTTTGAAATTTTGTTTCTAACCAGTTATTGGTATACAGCAATATACCATGTTTACTCACATGATAGTCACCCGCGCATAATAGAGGCACCCCTGTTTTGAAGCAGAAAAAATCGTCAAAATATTTCCCCCAAATAAAGGTTGCAGTCGCGTATTTGACCTTCATCTAGAAAATAGAAAATTATCAGCTGTACTCTTCCCAGAACTAGTACTCATAATGGATTCATCTGTTCTGTCACTCCCATTGACCTTATGGTCAATGGTCACTGGTCACTCCATAGCAAGATAGCAAGATAAGCCTACTTTCCCTGAGAGGGTGGGAGAGCTCTCAGGGGGGTGCAAGTTGCTCTCGAGGGGTTGCAAAATGAGTTGCAAGCTTTAAAATGAGGCTCTTACCCCCCTCATTTTAAAGCTTGCAACTCATTTTTCTTTAAAGAAAGTATGCATATGCTATAAATGTACTGGGCTGCACATATCTAAAGTTATAGAAAAAGAATCTTTGCTGATATAGTGTTTTGCAGTGAATTTCGTAGTGGTGTGTTTTGGATGTTTTTTCTTCTGGATTACGGGAAAGTTTAGAAAGAATAATAGTTATACAGCAGGATTTAAACTGATTATATTTTTGAATATACCGAAGAGGATGAAAATCGTTTCAATGAAAGTGATTTATTACAAATTATGTATTATGTTGTTAGACATAGCACATAATCTAGAAACATAAAACAGCACATAATTTGGAAACATATGGTAAGTTACTTATTTTATTATAATATATTTTTTATACAAGTAATGTTTTAGCATTAGACTCTACAATATTGTGTAATAGATTTCCCCACTTAATAGTCATACCTAGACTTTGGCAATGAAAAATTGGTAAAAAAAGTGCAACTATTATGCAAGGAATTGCAGTACCTTCTCAATTTCTTCTCAATCTTTTCTTCTCTAGAATACATATATTTTTTTTTAAATCATCTTTTTTTTTTTTTTTTTTTTTTTGGGTAGACTCTTCATTGAAGGAAAGAGCTGCCGATCCAATTAAATTGGTTTTCAATCCTGATGAAGAGTGTATGCAGATGGATAGTCCCGAAAGTGATACCTTTTTTTCACCGAGTTCAGATTTTGATTTTGACACCCCGAGTTCTTCAAAGAAGCCCCAACCCAGAACTCATTGCTCTTCTGTAGCAAAGAGCATTGCAGTGTTTGAAAGAAATGAGATACGTCAGGAAATTTTACATTTCCTAAAAGAGGAAGAATCAGTTCTTCCAAAAGGTGAATTCATTCCATTTGAGAAGAAAACAGTGACTTCACAGCCCAAAAAATTTGTTTTCAGAAAAAGTGTTTTCCCTCAAAGTATTGAGACAGAGTTGCAAGAAGAACCTCAAGAAAGAAAAAAAGTTTCTTCTACCAAAGAAAGTGACAAAGATGTATCTGAGTCTAGAACATCATTTTGGCTTACCAGTGCAACATCACAGACTTATGAAGAATTCTCCAGTACACTCAGAAATCGTAAGTTGTATCTGTATACATCTTATTAATGTATCAGCAACAGTATATAATTGCCTTAAAGTTTTGAGTAACATGTGATAATATTTTTCTATTTTAATTATATGTACAGTAAATATATCATTTTGTACAGAAAATGATGCACATTTGATAACTAAAAAAGAAATAAACAAATAAATGACAAAGAGGAAAATAATATAAATTGAAAATTTTTTTCTAATTTGTTATTCTATTAGGGGTATTCAAATGAAAAGATATGAAACAACACTATCATATATTAAAGTCCTTATTCACAAATAATCATCAAAGGCCTGTGCACAACTATACCACTGTTTCACGAGCTGAAGGATTCTGACTTCCCAGAATTCCTGTAGCTGTGACAGGAGTCAGTCCACCACTGTGCCCTTCAGTTCGTCGTCCAAGTTGAAGCTCTTCCTTTTGAGATGCCACTTCTCATGAGGGCGTTCACCTTGTTGATGAGTTCGGCTGTGATTACCGTATTTATTTGGCCTAGTCTTGGGTCATCACTCAAAAACCCAGGCCTTCACGAAAACTGGCGCTCCACTTTCTCACTGACTTGTCAGATGCACAGTCTCCCCCGTATATTGCCACCTGCCGACGTTAAATATCGGTCAGTTTAACCCCTTCCACACTCAGAAATCTTATATCACTTTACTGCTCCTCAATCATTGAATTTTGCACTGTGAACATCATGATTTCATCATGCACACTGCCATATCAATTGCACGAAATACTCAACTACCTGCTTCTCTCCTGTGTCATGTGCAGGTGCCTGTGCATGCGCATGGACACGCCGGACACTACATTCATGTCCTTAGATGTATCACTATGATATGCTTAAGCGGCATATTCATATTTCAATTGGTTTGGTTGTTGCGGCGTTTTGTACCTTTTCATTTGAACACCTCTTATACATAAGTACACATGGCAATGAAATACTTGTTGTAATAGAGCAAGTTTTCATATATTCTAGTCATGTTCATCTGCCTCATAAAAATGCAGTTACTTTTTATTTATGCTATTCACTGTCAGCAAACATTTTTTACCATAAAACCCACCTGATTTCGAGAAATGATAGTAAGCTTGATGGACAAGTTTGAGCCTTATGCCAAGTGCTGGCAAACTTCTTATCAATGCAGTGATCTATGGTCAAATATTGTAGTAGTTTGAATGATCAATTTTTTGTGGAAAGCATTTTACCAATAAAAGAGAATTGTATTGTATTAGTAAATGGTAACTATTTTTCAGTGAAACTACAGCAGAAGCATTATGAAAACATATATAAAAATTGCCTTTCTACAGAGGCTGTTCACACACTGAGCAGTAAAAACTACGGTTGGCAAAATTTTTAGAATTTAGGAGAGGTGCTAGGCTGCAGAATTTAGAGGCAACAAAATATTTAGACTTTAGGTAAGTAACCTGGCTATAGAATTTAGGACATTCAGAGAATTCATCAGGAAACAAAATGTCTAGCTCTGTAACACACAAATACTCAAATGACAGAAGTGTTATCCTAGCCAACATCAATACAGTGTCAGTCAATGTGTTGCTATTGGCTGCTGTGCTATTCCATAGCCAGCAGGTGTTTGAAAGTGATATGCAAGGATTTCAGTCAGTTGGACGAAAAATTGCATTTACACTACACCTGCTTCCTTTTATTGAGTATTATAATCTCCATTTCTATATTTTGTAATTGGATTTTATTTTATTTTTAGGTTGTGGGTATTAGATCATTTGAGATATTGAACTTTCTGCTGTGTTACCTGTAATCATTTGAAAGTGATACTCAGCCTTACATTACTTTGTATAATTTTATACTGTATTTCTACTGTTTACTACTATTCACTTTTTGATTATGAGTTTTAAAATTAGATACATGTAGTTATTATATTTTCATTCATGTAAATATATGCATGAATTTTTTTTCAGGTATTCCTGATTCAGGGAAAGATGGTGAACAGGTAAATATTATAAATATAATTATAATATGTTATATAAAATTATTCATTCATGTTAAAATGATATTGTATATGTTTACCAGTTTTAATGAATAGTAGAAATCAATCTCTGGCTATATTAATTGGAATTAAAAAAGTTACCTTAGGATTTTGTAATTTATCAAAGTTGCTGGTCATATCTTGAGATTATTATTATATTGTTGTTAGAGAATATAATCTGTTAATCTTTCTGTTACGTATTTTACTTTTAAAATATTTATATTGCTTGTTAAACCTGAAATTCTGCAGTTTGGGGCAAAAGAATAATAACCTACAAAGTTAATTTAATTCTTTTGTTTCCACTCGCTTGTTTTCCTTTTTGATTTAAGTAAAATCAAGCTTCTTTGTAATTTGCTTGCATTATTTTATTATAAAAAATTTATTTTTATAATAAAATAATGAATATATTAGTTAGCCTACTGTTCTTGTTACTTTATCAGTTATCGCTTAGCTGTAAGAAGTAATTTTATTTTTGAAAAGAACTGAATAAGTGATGTGATGATTTATTTTTTCTCCATGCAAAAAATTCTCTCTCCATGCGAAGAAGTCTTAAATTGTCTTTTGGTGCTTTTGGTTGTATTTTATAAGTCTTTGGTGAAAGCAATAAAAAATAATTTTATCTTTTACATTTATTGAACAAATTTTGTTTTATGGAAATTAAGTATGTTAAAGAGTAAAATGTACTCACTTGTGTTAAGTAAATACGGTATTTACTTGCATGTATATTTCTCTCCTAAATCTATTCCTCTTTTGAGTATATATATGATTTAGAAACTTCTGACTTACGGCAGCAATTTACAAACTATCGTGTATTAGTAAAATAGAACAATATTCATTGTTAATAACTAATAATTCATTGTTAATGCTTCTTTGAGATATAAAATGCTGTGGCATTTTAGTACGTCTGTTTATATGCATTTTATAATCTTCTGGCTTCTTCCTTTAAAATTTTCCTTTCAGAAGTGGTATGGATGGTGTAATTTTGCCCTCTTGCTTTTTCGTAGATAAATCAAAACTGAAGTTGAGGGATACGCAGGTAAATACTATAATACGCATTTGCCATATGGGGTTGGGAGTAAGAATGTTCAGTTTATAAACTTATCTTAATTATATTTTACTTTAAAAAAAGAAGTCCATATTTTTATAATTAATATATTTATTTATTTTGTGTTTCTATGTTCAAAAAAAGAAGTTCCATATTTTTATAATTAATTAATTAATTAATTTTGTGTTTCTATGTTCAAAAAGCCCACAGAAGTGCTTGTAAGATAAAAATTGTTTGGAAATCAGTTTTGAAAGGACATGCATCAAAATACACATGCATGCTGTGGCAGCTTTCTGATATTTCTGGAAACATTGGTGGAATGCCTTTTTTTCAATATCTGTCATAGACTTACTTCAGTCTGGATGTCTTGTGTTGCCTGACAATGTTAATCCCACCTGTGTATCTCGATGAGAAAAAATAACAGTATTAAAAAGAGAAATCTGACTAAGGTTTGTAGTGGCATGATAGGGATCTGTTTCAAACACCTTTTTCCCAAAATGTAACATCATGTAGAAATGGTCAAAAAAGGCTTTTAAATCTATTTGCCTTACTGCATTAACTACAATGTACAGGAACATGTCAATTTATACACTTCTTCTGTAAAACATATGCAAATGTCCTCTAACTGCCAGGTTCAAATCTAGCAAGTTTCATGCCTGTGTCGTGGCCTTTTTCACAAACTTTTTGAACAGAAGGATATTACAATGTTTATTATAATTGGTTCTTTGCTCACTTTGTAAAGTTGTTCACAATTTAACCTTAACAACTAAGAGTTTTTTTTAAAGGCATTTGTAAGCAGTCCTACAGACAATGAGTCTAAAGAAAAGTCGAAGGAAATTTCAAAAGGAACAACTAAAGGAACTGAAGAAAGTGGTTGTAAGTAATGCTTTATTTATTTATTTTTAAATTCACTGTTAAGACTGAAGCACAAAGTCTTAAATGTTAAGATTTGACCCAAAATCTGTCATTTAAAAGCTATATTATATTTCATTACAGAATTCCAATCACAAACTTCATCGCAAACTTCTAAAAGAATTTGTGATATTCTGAACATTTTGCATTGCTTAGTGTTAATCTAGTTAGCATAAATGTTCTTTTCACTCAGCTTTAACAGTAATTCAAAATTGTAGATCATTGATGAGAAATTAAAATTTATCAAGAAATATTAAATCATATATATAATACAATACCATAAGATAGTCGGATACTAAAGTTTTTTAAATTCTTTTTTAAATACATGTTATAAATTGATTATACTTTCAGATATAATTGGTTCTTTTCTCATTAATAACTTAATACATTATTAAACTGTAAATTTGTATTTACTTGTAACAAAAAACATTTACCAAACCATAAGTTGAAGTTTCAACAGTGACATAGTTTTGCTATGTATATCTACGTAAGGAGGAAGTATAAAACCCTGTTTTCATAAGTGCCGTCGATAAGTAATGGCAACAAATATGGAAGTGGTCTTCAAAGAAAGAATACATTTCTAAAAAGTATTTGTATTCTGAATTTCAGAAATTGACATGTTAAATTCAGGTATAAAATACAGTTTTATGTCCATGAATTAGCAAAATTTTCCCTGACAAATATTTCTCAGTCCTAGTTCTGCATACACATTTACTGTTTAGGTGCCTGACTATCTCAAACTGCTATTGCAAATGTGATATGACACTAACACAATTTTCTTTTAGCAGGTAAAATGTTAATAACATGCTGCATAAATTAAGTCTGACTGCTTTTTTAATATTTTGTTTCAGTACTATTTTTTTTACTATTAATTAAATAATAGGTCAAATTTGTATTTTTAAATAAGTACATAATTTATTTTTAATATTTTTCCACCTAGAAATCTTATTCCAACTTCAGTTAACCCTCTGAGCCTCATGACTGGCTTTATCCAGTCATGAGATTTTTTGTCACTTGGTATACATTAGCTTATAATTTAAAATATTTTGCTTTCTTACGTTATTTAATAATGTAAATATTATCTTAATCAGTGTAAGTTTAAGAAAATAGAGATTAAAATAATATACATATTTAGCTAATAATTTTTGTTTAAATGCAAGTCTTTATGACAGATCCAAAAATCCGTGCTACTCCAAGGGTCAAAAAGCCATTTTAAAATTCTTTTTTCTTGGAAATGCAGTAGAAACTGAACATGCTCTAATCATTTTTTTTATGTAATGCAAATGAGACCAAAAAATTACAGTTTAAAAATTTATTTACTTAGTTATTTATATAAGCCAAATTTGAGCAATCTGTAACCTGTATGTTGATGGTCTGGAGGTTAAATTAGTAGCACTAGTAGAGTTTTGGGATTGTGAGTTTGGATACTAAGCTCATTTCCCCCCTTTGGTTTGCAGCCTCTTCTGTTTTGTGTTCCAACTGATGTAGCCACTATCTGATAATTTATATTTTTGTTTATTTATTATAATTTTCCATATAAAATTAATATTATTAATTGTTAAAGTTGTGCAGTATGCTGCAAAGTTAAATATTCAAGAGATAATTAAATCAAAAAAGATTATAATATGAATAAATATGAAGTAAATAGGAGTTAAAAACTTAATCCTAGTTTGTGTTTATTGCAGCAGCAAGTGGTTTAATAATGCAAAATAAATTAATAGGTTTAAAACCTATCGCCATGATTCAGTTTGGGAGAAACCATATGCAGTAATAATAGTGAACCTAGAAGCACAGTAGTAAGTTGTGTGGAAAGGGGCAAAAAATGCTAAAACCAAAAATGGAAAAGAAAGAAAGTAATTTACATCTTTCACTGTATCGTAAATCAGGGAGTTAGTTCAATGAAAGAAGTAAATAAAATAAATAAAACAGCCTGTTTCTGAACTGATAGTGACACAATTAAAAACTAGAGTTAAGTGCTTTAAATAATATCAGAAAATTAATCATAGTAATTTGTGTGTGCAACCCCTATAGGAAAAATTGCAAATTTTTAAAGTAACAGCTACTTTTAAACTGTTTATATGATTTACATTTTTTTCATTAAACAATTTGCTTTAATTGTAATCATTTATAATTTATAAATATATTTAAGACTACTAGAAATGCAAAGAAAGTTTATTTTATAAAGTTTCTAAGTGAGCACAGAAATTCATAGTGAATAATAAATATACTAGTCTAAAAACTGTAAACATGTTTTCCCATTACTTTCACGGTTCATAACCTGGGTAAAATAGAAATCAAATTCAAATATATCAAGAATATCCTCTGAATCTATACAGGGATATCTGGCAGCAGTAAATTCAAATGATTTCCAAACTTACATAAACACAGACCAAACCACAGTGGCCTGCTCTACGATCATCCATCTGCAAATGTATTGTGGATGATTTTTTCTCAACTATGCAATGCATAGACTGCACTAGTGGAAAAGAGGCTTAAGTCTTTGCTGTTGGAAGAAGAGTCCTGTCTGTCTCTTTCACTACCTGTGAAAAAAAGTAATTTAGGCACCAAGAAGAATGCAGAAGCAAGATCAAGATTCTGAAGAAGCTGCTGGTAATAAACTGATTATGATTTTAAAGTTCTGAGAGAGAAATATTTGCACTGAGCTGTCTTTCTGACCTAGCCAAGAGTGGGTTTCTTTGTGTAAGTGTAATGGAATTCTGTCAAAAGTCAATGAGTTGCAGATATTGTCATAATTTTCTGGAAGACTTGAAACATCTGAATTTTGTCTGAATGTAAACAAGCATTTTATTAATACATAAATATTGGGAGGGGAATCACTGTTCTGACAATCAGACTGAGGAAATTAACTAATAAAATTGTTATAAAATATAAGACAGTTCTTAAGAAATATATCAGTTCTTAAGAAACTGATTGACAGATTACATTGGACTTCAGTTGGTTACCATTTTTATAGATTTATTGCAGAAGACCGTGTCTTAATTGAGGACCTAATAAAAAGTGATTCTGACACTGATGTGCATTAATACAACTTAGATTGATTCTTGTTGCTATAATCTTTAACGATGGATGTGTATGTTCGGAAGAATATACTTTTAATTAAATAACATTATAAATATATATATAGGTATATTTACTAAAGAAATATTGATTATATTATCTCCTAATATAATTTTAGTAGAAGTATCTAAAAAAATCTTCATGTATCTAAAAAGATTTCTATCAATTTATATCTTCATGTACATTCTCTTTTCTTATTATATATATGTTCATTTTCAATTTTTTATTATTTGATTTGTTTTTGCAAAGATTGCATTATATTTCTTATATTCCTTAATTTTCTAATGTTTATTTCAATTACTTTGAGTTATATTTCATAATTCCAATTTCCAATGTTTAATTTTTTACAAATAGATTTGAATTAAAATGCATGAACACGAGGGTGTCGGGAGGACAATTACTCAAGTTATTTATCAATTTTACTGCATAAATTGCTTTTCACTCAAAATTGTATTAGCAAAAATGCTTAATCAGAATGAGTTCTTTGGTGCTCTGCATTGGTTCTGGATCCCTTTACTTCACGGAATATTTGGCCTAACTTAATTTGCCAGTTTGGCATCACCAAATGATTACTTGGCAATCAAATGATTACTTGAGTAAAGAACGAAACACCTTCATATTTATTAATTATTGTTCATTGAACGGGAGTTGGTTAGTTCCCCTTGAAAAGTCAACTAATTTCCGATCAATGGCAATGATTACTTGCTTTTAATTTAATTTCTTTTTACAATTGAAATTTTGTTATTCATGATTTAATTCAAGTCCCTATAAAACATTTTTAATAATTTACATTCAAGTTACTTTAAAACAATTTTCGGAATTAAACTTACTACCTATGGGTTCACTCTTTTTAGATACTTCTACTAAAATTAATATTAGGAGATAGTATGATCAATATTTCTTTAGTAAATAAATTATTATTATCTTACTTTGCATCTATTGTGCAAGTATTAGAATAACTTGATTTCGAACTAGGTAAATAAAATATACAAACATTATTATATATATAATTATGGGAATAACTTTATAGATTCATTAAAATTTTTTGAATAACCAGGCATGATGTTAATTTGATTTGAGAAAATAACATCTTCTGCAGATGAAAAAAGCAGTTTAAAATAGTGAAAGGAGAGCAAAGAAATAAGCTGAAATTCGTCTTAATGCAAATGGAGTGAAACAAATTACAAAATCATATGCAAAGCAAAGACTAAATTCACTGAGCAATGACTCAATACACATCACTCTGCAGCAAAATATATCTCAACTTGCAACTAAATTAAAATTCCAGTGCATCTCTGTTATTCTAAGACAGAAACAGCTGTACTAAAACATTTAAAAAAAATACCTAAATTTCAAAAATATTTTTTCTGGAAACACCCAAAATGTTACCAAATTATTTTCAGATTTGCCTGAGAACTATAACTGCTGTAAAATAATAAATTAAGCAAATGCATGCTAATCCAGTATGTACCCATTAATTAAAAATTATGCATGTCACATAATAAAAACAAATATACTTCAGCGAAGTATGAAAAATCACTATGTATCAAAGTAAAAACAAATATATGTAAATATTTGCACAAATTACAACACTGTAAAACAAGGTACAGAAAAATGCATATAAATATTTTCACAAATTACAACAGTATTCTGTTTTAGGTCCTTATTATATAATTTATGTGGAAGATACAAATGCCTTTGTGAAATACTTTTTGTATTCATTTAATTAATTGAATTTAAAATATTATAGCTGATAAAACATGCACTGATGTTAAAAAGAATGTGAAAGAGCCATCGTCTGTTAGTACTCCAAGATTACCCAAAAAGAAAGGAAAAGCAAAAGGTATTTTTTTTTCAATTTCTTAAATCAGCTTGTTTATCAAATTATGTAAAATAAACTGTCTAAGCGTTATTTTTAATGATTATATCTGCTTGTTTAAATTAAAAAAAAAAAAAAAATTCCGTCGGATTAGAGCAGAAATCCCCGCATTTTTTTCATATTCAACCCCTTCAGAAATTTCTCAGTATTTTATTGACTATTTCTACTTTAATTTTATGTAATTATGTTATGATTTCTCCTCCCAAAAGAGCTGGTGTAATTTTTAGATTGTTTATTCAACAATATTTCTTATTTTAGATTGCAGTTATCTAATATATTTTTATATATAAAACATTTTGATTGCATAATTAAATAAGGCTAAAACTTTGTTACATAGAAATGATGAATTAATAAATCATATGTTTCAAAATTTTGAAAGGAATAAAATCTTATTAGAAATATCTAATTATATTTAAAATTTTATTCCATTTGCTGGGGGGGGGGAACACTGAAAAATGAAAACCTTATATATGATTGAGTAATTTTTCTGTTTTGAGCGTTATAATTTTTTTGTTAAACTCTTCAATTCTCAAATTTTAGGGTCACCTTTTTGGGTGGAAGATCTGTCATAAGCAGTTGTACCTTTATAACAAAGTAACATTAACAGTTACTATATTATTTAATATTATATACAGAAATGAATATGACACACATAACGGAATGATAATAAGGCATAATAATGAAATAATACTATTTAGCCAAAAATGGCAGAACTTTTGTGGCTCTCTTCCCAGCAAGATAGCAGTTACGCAGCGTGTTTTTTTAAGTAAGGGCCGTTTTGTTATATACATTAATAAGTCTCGTGTGGGAGGCAACGAATGCTTGCGTCGGGTTCTGACATTTCTTGGAAACAACTGTGATTAGTTGCAGCTGTATAGGGTAACCTGTAGGGACTGTTCTGTGTCTTTAAAATGTTTAATATTATTGAATCACCCGCTCCGTGTGAGATTCGGTGAAAACGACCATGACCTCTTTGTTATGAGAGCAGGTGGCAAGTTTCTATGAAGAGGGTATTCAAAATCTAGTTCTAAGGTATGATAAATGTCTAAACAAATTTGGCAACTATGTCGAAAAATAGAGAAACATATGCAGAATCTGAAAATAAATTTGGTTTTTGAAAAATTTCTTTCATTTGGTTTTTATTTTCAAACAACCCTTACTTAAAAAGTGCCCTTCGTATTTATGCTTAAGCATGCTGCAATGAGCTTAAACTTTTCCCCCCCATGCTGCCCTATCACCTTTACTATACAATCATCCCCAGTTAAATATTTGTATTTCATTTTGTTTTACATCGATATATGGTACACCAAGTCCTAGAAAAAGGAGAGGCAGTTCCATATCTGCTGTACTATTATGTTTTTCATGTATTGAAAACATGGCTTAATATGTATTATATTTTTATACAGCATTGTTCTAACAGGTATTCTGACACAAAATTCTAAAATAGTATACTGATTTTTTTCCATACTTCGATCTTACACATCAAATTGGTTCCCAGACAAAAGCCCACTGGACGAAAGCGCATGCAACAAAAGCCCGCAGAAAAAACCCCACTGTGATAATTGCCCACGCGACAAATACCCACATCGATGAAAGCGCACATTGATAAAAGTCCACACAGATAAAAGCTTACGCAGATAAAAGCCCACGTTGATAAAAGCACATAATCAAAAGGACATATGGTTTTTTTCACTATAAAGTGTATTTATATTTGTAATTATAATAAATAGAGTATTCAGATCTTAATTTTAATGTTGCCAAAATATGTCTGTTTGTATATTTTATCACTACTTTATTCTTTCTTTTTTTTATTATGTAGCAAACAAACTTTCTGATTTCTGATTAAGTATAATATTTCAATGATAAAGCTGAAAATGCATTTTATTATTATATACTTATTTAACTTTGTTATGTGTATGTGAAAATGAAAAATATCATTGTGAAATATCATTGTCACATCCTATTTTTAACGTAATATGGTTCAGATTTAGTATAATTAATGTTTCATTATTAAAAAATTATGGGGAATGGCATTTCCCTCAAACAACAGAAAAGAAAATATTTTACAGCTATGACAGAGTATTTTAAACCTCTCTTCGTTCTTCAATTAAAATACCTTCAAGTAGTAACTTCTTGGACTTAGGTATGCTGACTAAATGTTAACATTCCTTTTACTTAATTGTTACGATTTAAAATCAAATTAGCAGCCTACATCAAGAAATGTATGAAAGAAATCAGTAATCTCTGCTGTCAAAAATTTCTTTCGTTTTGAAGACAGATTTTTATTTTTATCTATCTAATTTTCATTTCATTTCTCAGTGTGACTTTGCAGAGAGAAGCTATAAGTATGTGTCTAAGTTTACGTATATATGCAACGCCCAGCATCATCTTTGAATTACTATGCTAAAAAAGATAGTTTCCCAGAAAATGAACTGGCACAACGATTTTTCTCAGCCTTCTGGGGATAGATTTGTTTACAGTACAACTAATTTTTTCCAGCTTAGACTTGGTGCATTACATTTTCAGCTTACACTATGACCATTCTGGTTTCGGTGGATGCTTACAACCAATAATGTTAACCACATTTATTCTCAGATCTCAAGAGTAACTGACGTTCGAATATTAGTTGAGAGTTTTAGCTTTTGTAGCCAGCACTAAATTACTTCTCCCTAAGATTTGTACTCGCTTTTAATAAAACCTGAGGTAAGTGATTTTTTATTCTTTCATATAGATTTATTCATTTAGAATGTATTTGCAATTACTTGCTAAGTATCATAAAGACATTTTACTGAAATAAAAGTTGTAAAAAGTAATACAAGAAAATAGACAAAATTCTCAGCAAATCCAAAACACAAAATATATTTTATCTAATTTGTTTTATCAGTGTTGATTTGAACTTCTCTGAAATGATTTTGATAATAGATATAAGTGAAAGTAATTAACATTAAAAATCTTTGAATCAGTGAAGTATTGGGAAACTTTAAATAAAGAAGCAAATAATTTCTTGAGATGTAAACATAATATATGATGGTTACAGCTGAAAGCATCGCGACAAATACATCGAGGACGAAAACGCCGCGGAGAAAACAACGCAAGGCGAAAACGTCATGCTACAAAACATCGTGGGAGAAAATATCGCAAAGAGAAAACATCGCAGTCCTAAAACATCGTGGTACAAAACATCGTCGTCGAAAATAAAGCGGTTCAAAAACTTCGCAGTTTAAAAACATCGTCGTCGAAAATATTGTGGTAAAAAATAAAGTATCTACAAATCATCGCATGACGATAACATCGCAGACATGCTTTTTACATGGGGAAAGAAGAAGATAATTTTTACTTTCATATTTTTATTAATAACATTTTTGCTGAGAAAATAAGAAGGAAAACTTAAGCATAGAAAATTAATGCAACTTATATGCACTTAATAGAATTTTAAACCGACATAGTTAACTAACAAAGGTCCATTAATAAATTATTTTTAAAAGATTTTACAGGTAATTTTCATAAAAAGTATAATCTATTAAGTTGCTTTAATTTTCTTAAGTTTCCTTCTTATTTTTCAGCAAAAATTTATTAGTCAATAAAAAATGTGAATGTGAAAGTAAAAAATTATCCTTCTTACATCTTGCGCTCCACAAATCATTATGGGAACCATATTCCATTTACAGTTATTAAAGCCTGAAAAAAGCATGTTCTGCGATGTTATCGTCATGCGATGATTTGTAGATACTTTATTTTTTACCACTATATTTCGACGGCGATATGTTTTTAAACTGCGAAGTTTTTGAACCGCTTTATTTTCGATGACGATGTTTTGTACACGATGTTTTAGGGCTGCGATATTTTCTCTTTACGATGTTTTCTCCCAAGATGTTTTGTAGCACGACGTTTTCGCCTTGCATTGTTTTCTCCGCGACGTTTTCGTCCGCGATGTATTTGTCGCGATGTTATCGGTGGACACCTATATGACAATCAATTATGATTTCCTACCTAACATAAATATTTTTTTTAATTACTAACTCTAGTACGAACCTGATATGTGTAAAAAGTACTCAAGGAACAATAAGTACGTTATTTTCTGAAGCAATAAAGAAATCACATTTTTAAAATTTGTAATTATTTTTATTGTATTTGTGAGAATAATAATAGGTTTTGACCTTTACATATAATTAAGACTTTTCGTAATTTAATGTTCTATGCAGTCTGAAATTACAGCAGCCATAACAGACTGTTTTCTCTTAATACACACTACCATTTCTTTAAAGCTTAGCCATAATAATACTTGCAGGTTTATTTTGATTTGCTTTTTTAAAAAAATTAATTCTTTTTCCATTTCAAAATTGAATTTCAATAAATTTATCTATCATTACCTTACGTGTTTATATTGCTGCTAATTTTAATAATTTAAAATATAATAATAAAAAATACATAATTTCAACGCATATTGCTTTCACTATATTTGAAAAATTACTCAAATCACATACTAGCTTTTGAGAAATTTAAAAGATATAGTTAGCTAAGCAGTGTAGAAAATAGCTTCTTATATCAAACTTTTAAAGACTATATTAATGTACGTTATTTGAAAGGATGTATTAATGTATGTTACTTGAAAAGAATTTAATGTCTTGAGAAATAACTGTGTTTAATATACTGAGAAATTCTTATAAATTTGGGAATAGTTTAAGGTTCTAAAACGATTGCTATCAGAGAAAGGTTAAAATTATACAGTTGTCATAAAATTAAAATTAAAATTATACCCTTATCAAATATAACTTACGTTCTTTAAATGTTCTTACAGGACTTTACTGCAAGTTTAAAAATAGGATCTTATTTTCCCATTTGGTGTATCCATAGTGTGTAAATTATCATTGGGAAATTACCAGATGCGTTATTAATTATAAATTAAGACGAATGTAATAATAGCTTTAATTTACGATGGGGTATTTTAAAAAGCAATATTCTTA